TAGGAATTCTAACTTCGCTGCTTTCATCGATATCTTCACATCAAACACGTACGTGATGGTCGTCATGTCGGATCCGTCGATCCCGTCTGCAGCTACTCTGATCAACATTCGCAATGCCAGGAAACACTTTGAGAAGCTGGAGAGAGTGGATGGTCCCAAGCACAGCCTCCTTGTGCGTTAAATATTGCCAAATGCTTTCTGAAAGTGCTTAATTGCCTTTTCCACCACCCCGCACCCCCCTCCCCGCATCCTTTTAGTATTCATTATTGTCGTGTGCTTAAAAGTGGGCTTTGAAATGTGTGCTGCTTACTACTTCATCCCTTTCTTCCCTATTTCCCTTTCTTTGAAACCTTGGACGCTATTTACTCAGCTATCTAGTAGAGCTTCAAGATGGCCTTTCTGAAAAGTTGGTGTGGGTTAACACTAAAGTAGGTGGTGTGTGTGTGTATGTGTTATTACCTGGTTATAATAGATATGCATATCAGAGCCTTTGCAATATCTTCCTGTATTCCTTACAAGATTGCAAAGATGGAATGTTACTATTTTATCAGCAATATTAAAATGCATTTATAAAGTCTTCTTGGCTTCAATTATGAATAAACATTTGCTGTTAGCAATTTAAAATATGGTCTTATTTTAAGTAATTTGAAGGTGGTTAATATGTAAATCTAAAGACTCTGATTGCCCACAAGAGTTTCTTAATTGGTTAATTTGATTATGTGATTGTAACCCCCAGCACCTTAAGGATGTTCACAGCAGCCATAACAGAGTGGTTATGAGTATTGGCTTTGGAACTACACTGACCACCAGAGCTGAGTTTCTATTCTAGTCCCTTCACTTAACTAGCTCTGTGAACTGAGCAAGGTAATTTCGCTGGGGTTTGTTTTTCCCCCCTCATTTATAAAAGGTGGATAAGAATAGCACAGCATAGCATTGTTAGTTAAAAGGATTCAATTAAAACATGGAAAACATTTAGAATGGTGCCTGGCACATACTTGGTACTGTGTAAGCTGTTAATACCACCTATTGAAGCATTCTCTCCCCCACATTCCAGAATTACTGAACATGGAGACTAGGTAAATATTTGAGCCTTATTAAATGCCAGGTATTCTTAAATACTTGATGTGCATTTTTTTATTAAGCCTCACAACCTATGAGGTAAATTACTTTTATCTCTTAATAGATGAGGAAACTGGTATGACCTAATACAGCTGAACCTAGGCAATATGGTTACAGATCTTCCCCCTTTCCTATTACATCCCACTACTTCACTGACAGAAAAGTTAATCATAAAAATCCTAGCTTTTTAGGTATACATTATTTATATAATTTCTCTAATTTTACGGATGGAGGAAACTGAAGACCAGGAAGTTAAAGGACTTAATAGTGTTTCATTTGCTTTGTGCAAGATCACTTTCCCATCTGTATTTGTCTGGATATTGGATAATATTGAATCAGATTCTTAGATTAACTACTTTGGGAAAAGGATTCTATGATTCCTAATTTGGACTGGCAATGTGGTATAGGGAAATCAGGAAAAAAAAGACAGGGAAATCAGAAAAAAAAAGACCTAAAATGCCCCTTTCCAACTGCCTAAAAGATTATTTTTAAGTGCAATTTACATATTTTAGATCCAAGAAACCTCTGATCAACTCCTTACCTTCTACAAATGAGACATAAGACTTTAGAATTTCCAAGCATTTGGAATTTACATTTTTTAAACGCTTTATAGCAAAAGCTATGAATGACAACATCTCTAACCTTGAAGAGCAAGAAGCTCTAACCAAATATAAATCATTAAATTGATCTAATTGGAGCCCGTGGCAATAAGTATAAAGACTCGATGAAAAAAACTGAAGGTACAGATGTCGATGTCCTTTTTAAAATACATTTTGTGACTTTAGTAATTAAAATGGCAGTAACAAAATGCTCTGTCTCAATCACTGGATGTCACAAATTTCTATTGATCAGGTTACTGATATAACTATATATGTAATAATTTTATGATTTGCAGGGTATGGTTTTTTGATAAATAGGAAATTCCAGAGCTAGGTGGGATAATGTTGGATGTTTATTCAAGACTTGAGTATGTAGAACATATTTACAAATAGTCCCATAGAAAACAAATATGTTAAATTTAGGTGTGTAGACTTGACATTCACAGTGCATAAGCAAAAAGAGCAACTTAATGTGAAAGTGTTTTACTTTAGCAAATACCCTCCTTACATTGAGGAAAATGTCCTTAAGCATTTCTTTAATTTTTGTATACTCAGAACAGGAAAAACAGGATTTCCTTTTATACAGGCCTCAAGAATTCCTATTTTTTCTTTTTTTTTCTATTTTTTTATTTTAATCATTGTTCAAGTACAGTTTTCTCCCTTTTACATCCTATTTTTTCTTTGGATAAAATTCACTTATGATTAAGAAACACATTAAGAATGGTCTCAAATATTTGTTCTGCTTTTGGTTAAATTAACCCCAAATGTTTTTCTTTAATCTCAAATATTCTTATAACATGTTTCATTTAATATTACATTCTTAAAATTTTTTAAACTGATTTTTAGAGAGGGAGAGGAAAATAAGAGAAACACTTATTTGTGTTCCCCTTATTTATGCATTCACTGGCTGATACATGTTGCCCTGATGGGATCACACCCACAACCTTAGCTATCAGACATCACTGACCAACTGAGCTACCTGGCCAGGCCCTGGTTTGTCCTTTTTAAACATTTAAAATAACTAAGACATTTTGGCATTATCTGAAGTTTCAAGTTGACATAGTTGCCAGTTTACACTTTATTTTATGAATAGTGAGTAAAACAAGGTATGTTCTGTGTAATCTATGAATGTAATGAGAAACATTACATTACGTACATTTTACGTAAAACGTACATTTTACGACAAGTAGCCCTCTTTACCATTTATTCCATCACAGAACAGGGATAGAAAACAATTCCAGTATTTCAATATTTGCCTTGGAGCAGTGGTCCCCAATCTTCTTGGCATCACGACCAGAAGGCGGGTGAGGGGGACAGAAGGCAGACAGAGCTCAGGCAAGCTTTGCTTGCTGCCTGGTTCCTAATAGGCCACAGACCGCAGTCTGCGGCTGGGGGAATTGAGAACCCCTGCCTTGGAGTATATGTGTAGACACACATGCCACACATACAGCCATGAAAAAGTATAAAACAAATGAAAACCACTAAATGAATAAAATTAAGAAACCATAGATTTCAGAGAAGGGTTAGGCCCAAGGATATGGAAAGGGGAGATTAAGACTTCAAGGTGGAAGTGAGATTTGTTCTGAGTCCTTTAGAGTAGCTAAAATTGTGATAAGCTGATATATTATTTGCAAAGTATTCCCACTTCAGAACTGTGAATTAAGATCCTAAAGACCCACCCTCACCAAAGCATTTCAGTACAAAAATGAAGATCATGGGTGAGGGGAAATAGAGGAATCTACACAGGGGACTTAATATGCTTTTATACTTGAACTCTATTCTGGAATTAGCAACAGAATTAATGGAAAGAAGTAACATAGAGCAGACACTAAAAAAAAAGCTATGTAGGCAAAATCAGATAGGGAAGCCTAAACAGTAAACATAATCAAAATGGTTTAGGAGAAAGGATAAACTTGAAATATTTTTGTTTAGACTACGAACAAGCAAAGGATGGGAAATGTAAAAACTCCGCCTGCGGCAGGTATGACTCACCTAACAAGAATGTGGTTCTAGTAAATTTGTATCATCTAAACACATTTTATCTTTTGAGCCTCCCATACTTACCGGTTAACTTGAGCTTTCTTACCAGACAATTGACAATCTTTAGTATATATGCACTTAATGTACCTGCTTTTTAAGGTACACCAGAGATAAATGTGTGAGTATTCCCTAGCAATGGTTCTTAGGCTTTTCATTGAGTCTGATAATTACCAAGGAAGCATATTTAAAATGCAAATTCCTAATTCCCATTTTAGACCTACAGAATCTATACTTTTTAAGATATACCCCAGGTGATTCCTTGAGTCCACCTTAGACAAGTCGCTTAAGCTCCCCAGCTTCAGATCATCTGTAAAATAGGTGTAATAACCACTATCTTAAGTTATAATTAAATGAAACTATACATATTGACTAGCAATGGCTTTAGCATTTTGTAGATGGTAATGATGGCCCTACCTACTCCCTAATGTTTATTCTGGATTTACAAATACTGAGTTTTCTTAAGACAGACTAGAGAAGAGTTTCACGGTATACCTGCAGAGTCCCTTATTTGCTGTATTAACTAGTAAAGGAATAGAGCACCTTGGGAGAAGCTTTTCCCTTCCCTTCTTTTCCACTGCTAATGTGTTTTTTTTCCTCCTGGCTTTTCTCACAAAACTGGCCTTCAAACTCAGGTTGAACCAAAAACCTAGAGACTGCCCAAAATAAGCAAAGAAAGGTAACTATTAACCCCATCCCCTTCCAGAACTTTCCCCTTCCTTTTTCTCCTCTCCTTTGCCAGTTTCTTAAGAAGTGGATAAGGTTTTTGATGGTTAAGAGTTGGGGCAAGATAGAGGGGCACGGTGATGCTATCACCTTCCAGTGTGTGCTCATACCTCCTAATTCATAGAGGGCCATGGCATGTCCTCACTTGGATGCTAGAGACAAGCCCTTTCCTTGGCCAGAGGCAATGACTGAGTGAAGAAGGATAATGCAGAAGAGGCCTCACCTCTGGCTCCCCTCCTGCAGCCATGTCCTATTGTCTTGGCCTTTTAGTTATTTCTAGGTGATTTTGTGGATTATTAAGGAAGGAAAACAAAGTCAAATCCTAGCTTCACCACTGACTTAGCTGTGTGACATTGAACAAGTTACTTAAGACCAAATGCAATTTTCTCAAGTTATTTTGACACTATTATGCAGGCTGTGGTGAACTAGTGATTTTTTGAGGAAGTAATATAATCAAAATTAGCTCCTTTCCCACCAAACAGTGCCCTCCCCCCGAAAAAAAAAACAACAACACACATATGATTTTCATTTACATTCTTTTCTGTTAAAATATAAAACTGGGGTTAAATTAAATTATCAAAGTCTAAATTAGACTAAATATAAATCTGCTATACAACCCAGTGAATGGATTTAGTTTGGTAACATTCCTTAAGTGTCTAGTCATCCTCTTCCATCTTTTTCCTTTTCACTAAATTCAATCTGCCCGGGTCTTCACTTATCCCATGCGCTTTATTCCATGAAACATTATTTTTCAGAACGAACCTACTTGAATAATCCATCATTAAGCTTGCTTAGATCTTTCCAAACTAAAATTTTGTCCTTTTGACTACACATTTCAAGGCACTACTGTTCTCACTTTTTTTTTCCCTTGGGGGGGGGGGAGGGGTCAATACCAGAATGTTCCATTAAGAAACAATAAAAGTTGTATATTTCCCTAAAATGAAAGATCAGTGTATTTAACCACTTACTAAAAATACATCAAAAACTACTCATCCTTATATTAACTGAAATTATAGCATAATAAATTAAACTACTACTTTGCCATTTTCTTAATGTTTGCAAGATTTTTCAAGAAATCAACATGGCTTTACATAACTTGATGTTTACTTTCCAAATTCTTCACATTTCAACCCCATATCCATACAAAGGGAAAATACAAACACACTCTCCTTACCTAAAAACATAAGAAGAGGCTAAAAGGAATTATTTAAGACTTTTTAGACTCGAAAAAGAGTTACACTTCCAGTGTGTATTTAAACTATAAGTCAGTTTTTAAATCAACTTTCTTCGATTGAAATGTGCATCATAATTAAATTAACTGGGCTACTGCTTCATCTCTTCAAGTTAGACGGAGATTCTTTTGTATCCAGGCTCTTATTCAAGATTTCTTCTTCTGCAACATTGATTTTAAAAAAGAAACAATAAGCAAACATTACAAAAAAAAATCAAAGAGAACAGATTCCAAACAGTAGCAAATTCAGTCTTTTTAAGTAAAAAGTTCACATACAGATATTTAATTGTGATAAAATTACCATTATCCTCACTGAGATATCTCCAGAGGAGGGACCAAAATCCCAGAATTATCTTCTGGAGGTCAGTCCCATTGTAGTACAAGCTTCCCCCACTAGGGGAATGTTCTAGGAGCCCATCTGTATCAGTGTACCAGCTGGCATTGCTGTGAGAGGCTGCATTGGGCTTCACTGAATTTTTCCTGAAGACTTTCAGCGCATTTGCCCATTTCATGATGGGTGATTTACAAGTGCACCTGCCCACACCACAGCGAGTGTTCAGCAGTTTTTGACCAAAAACAGCATGACCCTCATGCCTCACACTACTTATTCACCAATCTCAACCAAGTAACATTTTTGTTCCACCAGATAAAAAAAGTCCTCAAAAGGAAACATCTTGCTGATGTGGAAGAAGTGAAACAAAAAACAGCAGGAGCATCAAAATCAAGGAGTACAAAAACTGTTTTGAGCAGTGAATAAACTGTCTCAATAGGTGAATGTAATTTAACAGTTAAGGAGTAGTTACATTTACACAGTCCTAAAATTATTTCGGTCCTTTGAAGGCAACCATGAGGCTGATGTGGCCCCCGGTGAAAATGAGTTTGACACCCTTGGTGTATTGCATCAAATGGAGAGTACTTTGATGGTGACTGAAGTTTAAACATGTAAGAAGAAGTAACTTTTTATAAATACATTCCAAGTTTCCTGGGCCCCCAAAGAGTATCAATGTATCCCTTTTAGAATACTTTTCCACAGAAGAGAGTAGAGGGAATTTAATGGGACAGTAGGAAGGGTTCACAGGAACAAACTTAAAGGACACATGGTCATAAACTAAGGGGAGGGTGGTAATGGGAGGGAAGTGGGGAGGGGTGGTAGGGGGGACTGGATTGGGAGTAAAAAGGAGAAAACTGTATTTGAACAATGATTAAAATAAAAAATAAAAAGAAATTCTATTTAAAAAAAAGAATACTTTTCAATATAACAGTGTTTAATTATCATGGGAAAATCAGAGTGACATATGACGACTATCACCAGATCTACAACTGTTCTAACATGCTTTAAGAGCATTTTTTTCAACTATGATGAAAAATTTGAAACATACATAAAAGTGAAAAGAATTATGATAAACCCAATGTATCTATCATCCAACTTTAATAATTCAACAATCACTTAATACTAACTATTAATGAGTTAAATTGTGCCCCCCAAACAGATATGTTAATTTTAACCTCAGGACCTCAGAACATCACCTTACAGAAATAGGGTCATTGCAGATATGATCAGTTAAAGTGAGATCATTCTAGATTAAGGGTGGACCCTTAATCTACATGGCTGGTATCCCCATAAGAAAATGCACGGACACAGAAGGGAGAATGCAATATGAAGACTGAGGCAAAGAGAGTATACAGTTATGTTGCCACAAGCCAGACAACTTGGGGCTACCAGAAGCAAGAAGGATCTTCTGGTGGCTTCATGTGTCTTGACAATACCTTGATACTGGTTTCTAGCCTCCAGAATTTACTGTCTGCAGAGACAATAAATCTGTTTTAAGCCACCCAGTTTGTTATACTTTGTTACGGCAGCCCTAGGAAACTAATACACTAACCTGACTAATTTTATCACCCTGCTCCCACCAAATTTATTTCAAAGCAGATTACAAATACTGTATTATTACAAAAATGATATTTAACATAGGGTTTCTCAACTTTTTTAGAACCATCTGCTAGCCAAGATTTCTTTTGTTTTTTTGTTTTTGTTTCTTTTTGAGTCAGATGGAAGATTTTGATAAAATTTACTTTTACTCGTTTGTATTACAAAAACAGTAGGTTCCAAGCTTTTGGTTTTATTTTCCAACCCTGTCCCACAGCAATTGTAAACTACATACATATCACTAGAGATTCTGAAAGTACCCACAATGGTGATTGGTACACTCTTCCTATACTAGCCGAAAGAATAAGGAGCATATTTTGTCACATTAATAAATATTATGTAGCATTCATTGTGTACTATTTTAATGAAAAGTTAAGAGAAAACTACACCAAGTTAATATGCACAGGGTCTATTTAATCTTACCTTTTAAATTAGGCAGAAGTTCTAATGGTATTGTGGTCCTCGATCTTTGTTCCACTGGAGAAAACTTAATTAGTGGTGAAAGAGACCTTTTTCTTTCACCAAGGGACATGCATAAAGACGGTTTTGTATAATCAGTGTGCAAATCCTGAGTGTCCAAAAAGTTAAGCATATCATCTGTTTGTATGTTTTGAGTAACAGGGCTCAATTCTGGTTTGTGCCTTCCAGGTGTTTCAAAATTAGAGAGGTAAGTTTCTTCCCCTTTCTTGATAAGAGATTTTTTCAGAACCTCATATCTACTGTAAAGAGCTTGTAAACTGGAGTCTGATTTTGGAGGTGTCTGTCTTTCTCCCTCATCTTCTGGGGAAACGCCACTGTGCACTGGGCTAATTAGTTCCTGTTTAAAATTGGCCTCTGTACTACTGGAGCTATTAAGGCTTAAGTGACCAACTTCTTCTGGAAGTGTTTCATGTAATATACTAAAGTCAATATCCTTAAAACTGCTGGAACTAATTCCACTTGATATTTGAAAAGAGTTCCATAACATACTTGTATGCCTAGAAGGCATATCAGAGTAGTCTGATATTTTAATATACTCACCACCTTCATTCCTACCTATCATGTCTCTCCTATTGCTTACAGCAGGAGAGAACATCTCTGTTTGGCGAAGCCTGTTCTGTAAAGTCACACACTCCAAATCTTGCTTGCAAAAGGTTTTCTTATTTAACATATCTGACTGGCATTGTGTTGTTGATTCACCTACGTGACTGGTCACCACATGTTTCTGAGGCACACACTTGAGACAATCTGAAACAACTTTTTCTTCAGGCAAATAAGAATGGCTATCATCGGATACAGAGGTTGTTGAGAAACAACTGGCCATGCTAAATTCTCGTTGATTATGCATGGGTAAGGATTCTGGCAAACCTTCTTTATGTTCAGTATCCATTTGAATTGGTTCTGTACTTCGGTTATCTTCCATTTCAACAGCTTTTCTCCACGAGGTCCTAATATCACTAACTAATTAAATAAAGGGGGAAAACATAATTTATTAATACTCCCAAACATAGCATGCAATTAAGCATTTCCTTTTTAGTGGTCAAGATAAAACTACTAAGTATATGTCCCATAGATAATGGTGGATAGACGACAAAGTTCCACAACTTAGCAAAGCCCAAAACCTCAAAGGACTCCATCTCCAACTGATTACTTACAAATATTGGGTTGGCCAAAAAATTCATTTATTTTTCCATGTAACTGTTCTAGTAGTGCTTAGTTGTCTTTAACTTCATTCAAAACAATTTTGTGAGACTGTATTGTGACAACTGTCATAGCAGCATACTTCTACAAAAACTTATCAAAATTAGTGGATATCTGTGTAGCCATTTTAATGTTGAAGATGGAAGAAAATATGTAACATTTTTTACTTACTATGCTTTATTATTTCAAGAAAGGTAAAAACATGCCCTAGCTGGTGTGGCTCAGTGGACTGAGTGCCAGCCTGTGAATCAAAGGGTCACTGGTTCGATTCCCAGTCTAGGGCACACGTCTGGGTTGCAAGACCCAGTTCTTGGTCGGGGGCATGGGGTGTGAGAGGCAACCACACATTGATGTTTCTCTCCCTCTTTTTCTCCCTCCCTCCCTTTTAAAAAATAAATAATTTTTTTAAAAGAAAGGTACAAACACAGCTGAAATGCAAAAAAAGATTTGTGCAGTATATGGAAAAGGTACTGTGACTGATCGGACATGTCAAAAATGGTTTGCAAAGTTTCTTGGTACTATTAACATTTTGGCCAAATAATTCTTTGCTGGAGGTCTATCTTATGCATTGCAAGATGTTTAGCAGCACCCCTGGTCTCTATCCACTAGAAGCCAATCGCAGGGGATAGCCTATGTACTCAAAATATCCAAATCAATAATGTTATTGATGAAAAGGAAAAATGTATCATTTATTTTATGAAAGAAACTAAACAGACTTTTTGGCCAACCCAATAACAAAGCTGTTCCTGTAATGTACATATACTTTCACAGAGCACATACAAATGTATGTATTAAACAGACATTTGGTCCTGACTTATGTAGTTCAGTGGGGTCAGGCAGCATCCCGCAAACCAAAATGTCCCCAGTTTGATTCCCAGTCAGGGCACAAGTTTAGGTTGAAGGCCAGGTGTCTGGGTAGGGGCATGCAAGAGGCAAGGCAACCCAATCAGTGTTTCTCTCACACATGGATGTTTCACTCTCCCTCCCTCCTTCCTTACTCCTCTCTCTAAAAAAGTTAATGAAGAAACCCTTTAAAAAAAAAAAATATTGCCATGGCTGGTGTGGCTCAGTAGAATGAGTGCCAACCTGCAAACCAAAGGGATGCAGGTTCGATTCCCAGTCTAGGATACATGCCTGGGTTACTGGACAGGTCCCCAACAGGGAGTACAAGAGGCAACCACACACTGATGTTTCTCTCCCTCTCTTTCTCCCTTCGTCCCCACCTTAAAAATAAATAAATAAATTCCAAAAAAAAAAAAAAGGCACTGGTTGGTGTGGCTCAGTGGGTTGAGTGCCAGCCTGAAAGGTTGCCAGTTCGATTACCAGTCAGTATATATGCCTGGGTTGTGGGCCAGGTCCCCAGTTAGGGGCATGCAAGAGTCAACCTATTGATGTATTTCTTGCACATCAATGTTTTTCTCCCTCTCGTTCTCTGTCCCTTCCCCCTCCTAAAAATAAATAAATAAGATCTTAAAAAAAAAGATATTTTGGCCAGGGTTCAACAGACTTTTTCTGTAAAGGACTAGATAGTAATATTTTATGCTTTGCAAGCCATTAGGTCTGTGGCAACTATTCAACTCTGCCATTGTAGCATAAAGGTATGAAAGTATCCATAAACAACATGTCGACAAATGAGGTAGGTTATGTTCACTACAACTTTATTTACAAAAAGGCATAGGGCAGGCCACATTTGGTTCATAGGCTATCATTTGCCAACCACCATCAGGCTGTGGCTAGGTTCCACCTGAATTAAATCAATTTAAATTTGATTATATCATTTCCAGCACCAAAACAAATCATATTTAATCACTCAGCCATGATTATATGCCTACCTAAGGACAGTATCACAACTTCATCTACACAAATTACAGGTTATAAGAAAAAAGTACTGAACATTCTGGCTAGCTTAGGAGGGGTAGAAAAGATCTCTGAACACACAGATTTTGGCTGCTGCTGCTAACTGTTAACTGAGAGATCACAGCCTCTACATGCTACAAATGTTAATCACAGATCAGATGTAGAGGCAGAGAATATTTTTAAAGTGATCAACTAAAATATTTTCCAGGAAAAAGCCTAGTAAGACAAAAAACACAATTGTACACTATCAGGGCAAAATAATACTGCTGAAGAGGACTGCCATATAAGTGAGAGTGCCCCTATTAAATATTTCAATAAAAGTCCCTTATATCAAAACAAATAAAGAGCCTTTGCCACTAAACTTGAAGATATAAAAGGAGTTTTAAAGAAGCTTCCAGAAGATTTGTCAGACCATGGTTTTAATAATAGTAATGTCTAAGAAAGAAAACAAGTGATAGAATACATTATTAACTTACTCAGCTTTTCTGGAGTTCGGGGAATTTGATTCCTTGTTAAGAATGGGTTAGAAACTAAAGAGTCAATTAGTTCCTCTAATTTTATTTCTTTTCCCGTAGAGGGCTGTGGTGAATCAGATAAAACTGTCCTTGCAACCTAAAACAGGAAAGAAAAAGTAAAGCAAAAATTACTCAGAAATTAAGCCCACTGGTAGAATGCAACAAAAGCCCTGATAATAACAGAAAACACTTCCTGGTCAGCAGCCTTTCTCTTTGCAGAAGACACAAAAGTAAGCTCAACAGTGTATCTCCCAGATAGATACTCACAGACTAGGCACAATCCTTTAAGGTGAAACCAAACACAAAACTGTTCCTTCCTTATCTTAAATGGATATCCCATTACAAAGTAGAGAAAAGATAAGAATCATTATACTTAGGAAGATTTGGAGTTCTAACTACATAGTGACCTAAAACTAAACTATCTGCAACATCACTGGGCTTGACAACTCCGTATCTGCTAAAATGACTAGTCTCAAAGTAAGCCGATTCTTAATTATACACCATTTGGGCAGTAACACTTCTATTAATAAAAAGAACACATTCTGACAACCTATTTCTTTGCCAGAAACCTCATCAAATACAAATTGGTGAATAAGGCATAGATACACTCTAAAATAGAGAAAATAAAATACAGAATACAAAAATAGCACTCCATATTAATTAAAAGTGAATAAAACAAGAAAAAAAAACCAAAATATGCAAATTAAAATATCTACCCCTAGAAATCCCTAAAAAATACATTTACAACAACCATAATCAAATTGACCTGCATTCACCCTCCTCCCCCATGAAAACAGATGGCTCTTTGGAATTCAAATACTAAATATTCCTTGTCACAAACACTATTAAATAAGATTCATTTCACTGTATTTTCAGAGCTTTATGAGATTTTAGGACTCCCCTCTTTCATCCCATCCCTTTCTACTACTACTATAAATTCCTTTAACCAGAAAATGTGCCTTTCCTTCCGTATCAAGAAAAAAAAAAAAAGACTGACCATCCTTTCTTTAGTGTAATCTAATAACAAAGAAAACAATCTAACTTCAGAGATTTAAAAATATTTAGAGCCCCGTCTGGTATGACTCAGTGGACTGAGCACCAGGCCATGAACCAAAACGCTGCTGGTTCAATTCCCAGTCAAGGCACATGCCTAGGTTGTAGGGCCAGGTTCCCAGCTGTGGTCATGCAAAAGGCAAATGATTAATATTTCTCTCCCACACTAATGTTTCTCTCCCTCTCTTTCCCTCTCCCTACCCCTCTCTCTAAAAGTAAATAAATAAAATTTTCTAAAACATTTAACAACCATAAAACTGCCCCAATCTCCTCATGTTACAAACAAGAAAAATGTCTGACATCCATGTCTCTTATATGAACAATATTCATTTACTTTGATCAGAATTGAGATAAAGGAGGGAACTCCAATACCCGAAGCAATATGTACTAAACCAAATTTTTCTTTCAGTCTCTCAGGAATACAGTAGCTAAGGGACATTGTGGGAAACTAATAAAAATAACATTAGAGAAAGGCTTGAGCATTTAATTTGTGTAAACTGAGTTCTGTAACAGTACTGAGCAGTAGTGGCAGTATGTGGTCACTTGCCAATAAAAAGCAGAACAGCATTAGGAAAACCTTTATCAAAACCAATGATGCACTTAATTATCTTTTAAACAGAAAACAGGAAAAAATCCTTCATTCAGTGATAATATGATATTGCAATCTGTGTTCTAATATTCAAAAAAAGAGGATGCTCAGCTAAGCAACAGACAATATTCATGGAGTATTTTAATAGAGTATAACCATTGGGTATATTTACCCAACAACTGAGATATAATGGTTAACTCCAAAAATATCATACATGCATTATTTTTATGCTTTTGGATATTTATAGGATGGGACATGAATTCTAAACCATGGAAGTAATCTTAACTGAATAAATTTATATTTCTAGTGAAATATTTCTGCTTTTGGGGAGCACCATTTTTACTTTAACCATAATTTTGATTATCTGTGACCTCCTTTACCAAATTTCCCCCAGTAAATCAATAATTTACTGTGCTTCCATTTTAATCACAAAGTTATAGAGAAAATAATAGATATTTCAATATACTTGTTACCATCTTTTTCTAACCTCTTCTGCCAGATGATCTTGTTCTTTTTGGAATGGATCGATTTTTTTAACAGGCAGAGGCTCTCCAAATGCACTGCTCTCTGTATTCTTTGCAACATATGATGATGGAACATCTTTCCCTTCATACTCTGGTGTTTTCTTAGAAATTGATTCATTTTTCTCACTAAATGTTCTCATCTTCATGTCCTAGAAAAACAGACATATAATTTAAAAAACCTTAATAATCATGCCTGACTTTCATTAGAGGTTCTTGAATTATCATGAATCTATACAAGTTTATTAACATTACTGTGAAATTATATGTTCAGTGGTACAATTAAATAATTCCAATATTCCCATTTAGAAGCAACAGGGGATATGTGAATAGAAAGCATATATAATGTGCAAATACTGGGAAATGTGAAAATGAAATTTTAATTTAATTGGGGTATCAACAAAAATAAATAATATTTTATCATAAGTTAGTATGATCGGAATTAATGAAAAATTGTTTTTAAATATACCTTTTCAAATACTGTAACACTGTTTCTATCTGATGATGAAACTGGCTGCAACAGGAAAGAAGCAGGGCTAAAAGGAAAAAAGGTAACAAATCCACATTACCGAGTAGGAATGAGTTCCATTCACTTTATGTATCTGAATATTCTTAAAAAAACCTGTCTGCCCCGTATCTGTCCGTTACGATTTCACTCAATTCGTCCCGGTCATCAAAAGGCAGTTTACTATAGGGAGGTATAGTGACAATTAGAGCAGTACTCCAGCCCAATTTGTGTATCAGCCTCCCAAATTATGAATATTTGTCTTACCTGCTATATATTTTAAGTCAACAGCATTTTTTTACAAGGGTTAAATGACTAGATGAACACTTGAAAACTTGAGTACAAGGCAAGAATAAAAAGAAAATTCAATTAATTAGAATAGCATTATTACAATGCCCTCAGTATTCAAATCACAGAATTTCATTGTAGCAGAGACTTTCCCTTAAGACTCTCTTGATATTTCATGTCAGAAATCAATATCTCTTATGCTGAAATTTGCTCTATAGCAAATACATTATACTTATAATAAGGTTATTCAATTTCAGTTTGCTGTATTCTATGTATAGTACTCCTTAATCTCTTAGATTCTCTTACCCCTTAAATAAATATAAAAAACTTATGTACCTTTTCATTATAATTACAAAATAAACCATTATTTTATAATTTCTGAACCTTTAAAGCAATGATAACTTTAACCATTTATCTTCATTTTGAAAAAAACATTTCAAATTCAATCATGGACTGGGTTTGCTTGTGGTCAAAAGTTCTTCTATTCTATGTTAAATGAAAGGCAGGATTACCAGAGGTCACTTTTCAACATCAACCATGTCACTGCTTTACTTTCTGTTCACAGCAAGAAGTATAAACACAGCTTTGCAAATATTTTATAAAATAGCAAATATGCTTTTTTCGAACTTTTTCAAATATGCCCTTCTTGGAATTATCTACCTTCCAAACAATTCAACATCACTGAAATTGCTCAAGCTTCAGTTTCATCTCAACAAGATATAATTTAGATAGCAAAAGCAAAAAAATTAACTATCTAATGCAATTTTACCGCAATTTTACCTTAATTTAAAAAAAACTTTAACATTAAAATGATCAAAAGCACTGTGAAACAGAGCCAGCAATCAATGCACCAAAGGCAACTAAGATGCCATCACAAGAGGGTGAGGCTTCTTGAAGAAAAAGCTACATCTTTACAAAGGCTATTCCCAGGAGCTAACACAGTACCTGGTATTTGGTAGTGCAATATACATGTGTAACTGATTGACAGACTGACTAATCGTCAATGAATAAATGTCACTTGAGGATGAGGTCCTACAAATGCCATCAAATTTTTCTATTTCAACCATTCATGCAGAGCCCCATAATAGAGAAAAATTGAAATACATTGTGTATCTTCTCTATCATTTCTGAATTGATAACATGCAATTAACACTGATATCTCAATCTAACACAACTTTAAAGCAGTCCTGGCTCAATAGTTACTCTCTATCTACTTGCCATGCTAAAACTGAGACCCATGAAATTCTAGCACTGTAACAGATCAAAAGGGTGTTGCAACATCACAGATGGAACTGAAGAGAATTATGCTACATGAAATAAGCTAGGCAGTGAGGGACAAATACCATATGATCTCACCTTTTAATGGAACATAATCAACAAAAGAAAAAAGCAAACAAAATATAACCAGAGTCATTGAAATTAAGAACAATCTAACAACAGCCAGAGGGGAGGGGGGAGGGGACAGTGGGAAGAAGGGTTTTCAGGAACTACTATAAAGGAGGCATGGACAAAACCAAGGGGGAGGGTGGAAGCAAGAATGGGAGGTGGGTTTGGCTGGGGTGGAGGGCAGTGGTGGTGGGTAAATGCAGACAACTGTAACAGAACAACACTAAAATAATTTAAAATTTTTTTAAAAAGGGGGTGTTGATCCCATTGTAGGAATTTATCCTAAGGAAAGAGCACTTCCAAAAGGGGGGGGGAAATGTGGCATGCTTTTTATAGTAGTAAAAATTTTTGAGAATGTAAGTCTAAAAATAAGAAAATGTTACAAAGCCATTATAAGTGAAAATTGGTAATATAATGTTAAGTAAGCATACATACATGTTTAAAAAAAACCCTTCATTTATGCTAAATTTTGTGCTTTAGAATATAAGACCATATGCCTGCTTTGATTAGAACTAAATTTATGATTGTAAGGAAAGCCTAAAAAAGAACTTGAAATAATCTGACAAGTGATTTCTTAGAAATTTTAGCTATTACATTTTCATTTGCTCTCATTACAATATCTCTAAAATTAACAGAAATAATAGAATTATAGAAAGAGAAAGCTATAATATTGGAATTCAAAGAATTCAAGTTCCTTGAGTTGTTTTTTTTTTTACCTTCACCTGAAGACATTTTTCCATTGCTTTTAGCAAAAGAGAAAGGGAAAGACAGAGAGAGAAAGAAACACCAATATGAGAAACATCAATTGTTGGGAACCGCCCTGACTGGTATCAGAGGCTGAAACCCCCGCCTAGCTAAGGCTAAGGGAACGCCCTTGGAACCGTAAGCCAGCAAGGAGATAAAAGCTTATCTCCCTGGCAGGAATGCTGCTTCTTCTGCTGAACCCCAAAAAGCTTGGTCGGTTAGCCAAAGACGGGTAAGATTCCCCACGGGGGGAACAACCCAAGCCAGGCACGATCACTTTGGGAGGCCCCCCAAAAAGAAGGACTTGGGGGGCTGCAGCAAAAGGGGGTGATGGACCCTCACTCCTCGGCTTTGACAAAGTCTGAGTTCTCAGCGTCCGGAAGAAAATCTCCTTATCTCTCAGTGGCCTTAGTTCCCGTGCTCCACCTAAGCCTGAAACAATGACAGGGTAGTACAGCTCGGTACTGGGAAGTGCGGATTTCCCAGGGTGATCAGGCCTAAGAAAGAACATGTAAATTACTGTGAAACCTTCTTTGTTTAGAATGCTCTCAGTTGAATGAGAAGGGTCTTAGGAGGAAGTTATTTTGTTCCTCAGTCTTACAGCTCTTTGACCCCCCAACTCAATAGACGGGCAGAGTTCTTTGTTTTCTATAGTTCCTTACTTCCCCTAATGAGTATTGTACTTTACCTGAGTTATTATGTAGCATGAGCCCAATAAAAGCAGGTATGGACTGTAAATCGGCACGCTCCTCACTAGAAGGGGTGGCCATTTTGTCCCTACTTCTCCACAGAAACTAGTTTGTCTCTGTGCATGTTTTTTCTCGCGTGTTTATCATCGAGCCATCCACAGCGTTCCGTGGTCACTGCTGGCCGGTGACCCACGCGCAACAATCAATTGGCTGCCTCCCTGCATACCATGCTTGCCCCACTGAGGATCAAACCCACACACAACCTTTGGGTCTACAGGATGACACTCCAAACCAATTGAGCCACACTAGCCAGAGTGTGGAATTCAATTTCTAAGACTAAGGATGTTTAGTTGACAGTCATGCAAGATTACACTGCCCTATCTTTGAAAAGCAGTAAAGAAGAAACTGTAGAGGTTAAAAGTTTAAAAAGAATTGCATCATCACCACTAGAAATATCAAAACCCTCCCTTCCAAAAACCAAGGCAAAGAAAGTTAGTGTCCACAGTATATAGTAAAGGCATCATCAGTCACTGAATTCTGGTTTTAAGTATGGTGAAGCCTCCATCAAATCACTGAACAAAACCAGCCATGAGATTTATGGAGAACACTATATTTTAGTACCTGTGAATGACAACTCCATGCAAAAGAGCTAATAACACACTTATTCTAAAAACTACATTTGTTTCAGATTTTTAATTGAACGGTAGTATTGGTCATATCCACATCTGAATTTGCCGATTAACTTCATTGATATTGATATGATACCAATAAAATATTTAGTATAATAGCTGAACTACAGGCAAAAAAAGGCATTACTTTAAGGACAGTCTACCCACATTATACATTACTAATTAAATGTTTTATTACAAAATACCATTAACAGTAAAGAATTCTGAGGAACAAGTATATGTACACATCCCAATAACAATACTGTCTTCTGCTATCAAGCAGTAATATTCTTTCATATCCCATTAAGCATTTATCCCTCATCATCAAAAGCCTTCCCCTACCTCCTTTCAAAATCCCAACCTATAATTAAAGTATCTAAAGATAACTAACAGATCCAGGCACTTAGAAGAGGATAAATGTGGGTATCAAAATATATTTAATACAATTTCTTTTTCCCATATTAAGAGAATTGATTTGAATTAAATTAGGGGTGAGGAGGCTATGTCTGGCTCCTGTAGAGTTCTGACAGTACATCTTAGTACAAAATTCTACTTTGGAAAGAATGTTGAGGTTCAATGGAGTTCATAAATAAAATCTGACTTATGAACTAATCAACTAACTCCACCAACCTTTAGTTTAGCAAGAGACTTTAATCAAAATATTTAATGTGCTTTCCCATGGGAAGATAAGCCAAAAACATGATTAAAATTGGGAAGCACCAACTCCTCCCCACTAGCATGCTTTAAGAACAATTGTAATACGGGAATAAAATGCACAAACCCAACAAGTTTACTATTTCTTCAATAAAAGGTATTCAAGGAGAATTTCATTATGTTTCTTTATGTACTCAAAATCAACATCACACCCAGACCTAAGGATAAAAATATAATTCTTCCACAAGTAGTCCTGACCTCCTATGAACCAGAATATTACTTCAGAAGAAACTACCAACAGTTCAATGTCACATACAGTAGTATCCCCACCTTATCCCCGGGGGATTCAAAGACCCCCCAGTGGATGCCTGAAACTACAGATAGACCTGAACCCCCTGTATGTACTATGTTTTATATACAGGGTATATTATATATATATAATATGTATGTATGTTTTCACTTAAAGGAAGCACATGACAGCGCCCACATATCTGAATTGCCAGTATCACTATTCTTGCACTTTGGGGCCATTATTAAGTAAAATAAGGGTCATTTGAATACAAGAACTGTGATACCACAACAGTTGATTTGATATCCGAGACAGCTACTAATGGCTGAGCAGCACATAGAGCATGGATACACTGGATGAAGGGCCAATTTACATCCCAGGTGAGACACAGTAGAACAACCCTAGATTTCACCTCACTACACAAAACGGCAAACAATTTTAAATTATAAATTATTTATTTCTGGAATTTTCCATTTAATATTTTTGGAACATGATTGCAGATAACTGAAACTGCCGATAAGGGGGAACTACTGTATAAGTTTGATCTTTGTTATGGTGTTTCAATTTACTAAGAGTAAATTGTATAATTCAGAGTATAATAAACAGGGCTTCAATTCATTTGATATTTGGAATTTCCTTTTAAAATTTTCCTAAGAATTGTTGTTTCCATATCTGTGTCTCATTTATGGGGCAATCTGGACTGAAAGACACCTATTTAGAGCAAAGGGTAATCAGAAAAAATATAAATAAAAAATATGTTTAGTATATCTATATTTGATTGCTACTTAATAATGCTTGATTTTGATAAAAAACAACTATATTCCCTAAGTGGATTACATATATTTAGCCCAAAGATTTTTGCTTATATAATCCAGCATCAGTTTCAAGAACCAAAATGGGATAACAGAGAAAACAGGCAATAAAGAAAATAAGAATACTTCTGAAGGAAGTTATAACAAATTAAATAGGTTCCGTTTTTTCACATGTTAAATTCTAGGATTTGATTGAATCAGGAGGTTTTCATTTTCTATAAAGAATGGAACTCTTTTTATCAAATAGCAAGTAAAATCCCCAATATATAATACAGATAAAAGATCAAGCTGCTCAGGTTGAAGTGGGAAAGGATGGACTGCCACCAGGCTGAATTAGGTTCAATCCACAGAAGCAGAGGACACTGCAGAATACAAGCCAAAAACTACCAAGTAGATAATCTCAAAGGTCCCTACCCTTGGATTTGGTCAATAGCTACAAGTGGTTCCAAATAAACTTACAGATGCAAAAAGATAAAAATCCCCAACCTTGTATTGGAAGATTTCCATATGTTTTTTTCTTCAAAAATTAGATGATTCCCATTAATCCCAACATTTTGACATAGAAAAGAAGGGGAAAAAATGCCCACGTATCAGAAATGTTGACTCTCCTAAAAATGTAGATGTGCAGTGAAAAAATACTGTCCAATTCAGATAAGAAAATTATGGACTATTCAACAGCAGAGAAGCATGGAAACTGCCTAAAGATGGGACTAAAAACAATAAAGAAAAAAAATCAATATGAAAATCAGTTTTGTTTTACCTGTTGGTTAAATCATATACAGTTTCCAATACATTACTGGCTCTTCTGCAATCATTTTCCTGGTTTTGCTGCTTAGGTGTATCTAAAGGAATAGAAAAATTAATTATTCTTTAATTATGCTTTTATATTCTAATATTCAGGGATCTCTTGAAGGTCTACAACTTCTAAAGAGTAGAAAACACAAAAATAAAATAATATGAATGCTAATAGGAAAAGACAATTATTCAATTGTTAAGTATAAAGTGATAGGCAGGATAGTAACAAAGAATATCTGTTAATAGCCTTTCTTAAAAGACTGATAGTTCATACTGTTTCCAAACAGGACAGCCCATATTTCTCCAGCATTATATAGCCATGCTTCATGTTCAAGTACACAGATCATGCAATTACCATATAAACCAGCAAAACCAAAAAAATAATAGTTCTTGGCATATTCCAGCCTACCATCTATGACATTAGTCAACCTAGGTACTTATTCTTCAACATATCATTGAAGAACTGTGTGCCACTACAGTATCAACAATAGAAGAAAGATGGAGACCTGCCTACAAGGAGTTACTGTAGAAAAAACTACTAGTGACACCCTGGCTGGTGTGGCTCAGTGGATTGAGTACCAGCCTGCAAGTCAAAGGGTTACCAGTTCAATTCCCAGTCAGGGCACGTTCCTGAGTTGCAGGCCAAGTCCCCAGTAGGGAGTGTGTGAGAGGCAACCACAAACTGATGTTTCTCTCTCCCTCTTTCCCTTTCCTTTCCCCTCTCTCTAAAAATAAATTTAAAAAATCTTAAAAAAAGAAAAAGACTATTGGTGAGTACATAACTGTGGTATATTGCTATAGTATTATGACATTGGTATATACAGAATGCAATGAGGCAGAAAAACATCTGACCCAGACTAGGGAAACATGAAGCAGGCATGCAAGTATTAAGAGAATAAGAAACAAGTCTGGTATATGCAGGAGCATACTGTATCACATAGTGGAAGCATAGTAAGAAATGAAACTGATGAGGAAAGCCATTGCTAGGTTACATAGGATAATATTCCAACAGCTGAAAGCAATATGTGAGCTTCTGAAAGACCATTTATACATGTGTCCAAAGTATTACTATGTAAGAAGCCAGTGTATACTATATAAAGTTTTCCTTTTAATCCATCATAATGGTATGCTGCCTTATAACATTTTGAATACTATGCTTTTGCTGCTACTAATTATGACAGATTTATAAAATATTCCAAAAATATTCCAACAAATACAAATATACCACAAACTCAGTAGACAACCATAAACTAAAATGATTATACACCAACTATAAACACCATCTGATGGTGGTAGGAAGAGTTGACACACATTTGTTATGGTACATAAGAAAGTATATAAGGTAGAAGTTGCTAAGTAAAAAGGCATCCAGAGCTTTTTTCTTTCTTTTTTTCCTGAAAGGTGACAGGTGATAGGAGGGTGAATTCACTGATATGTATTATACTTAGAGATGAAAAGGATCATATTTACACTACAGAAAGACCACTAAGAGCCATTGTAATATGGAATAGAACACTGGAGGCAGAGCAGTGCTAGTCAGAACATGATTACAGGCAACAAATGACAAAAACTAACCTACAGCCCTGAAGATGTGAGATAGCAAAGGAGGAGACAGACATAATAGGGCATTGAGGGGGAAAAACAAAACTGAACTCACCACTACAAAGCAAACCAAGATGAAGCAGACACCGACTCCTACCATAAACACACTACAACTGCTAAATAAAACATAAGGGGAAAAAAGGAATGTCCTGAAGAAAAACAAAAATCATCACATGGCGGAACCAAAGACAAAAGGCATGATCAGCATGGTATACTCACACTGAGAAATGAAGGCTCAATGAGGCAGGCTCCAGGGGCTAACCACTGGAGACTTAACACCTACTTGGTAACAAGAGACATCATCTCAGGACACTCAGGCTGGGTGGAATCTGAGAGACTGCCATAACGCAGCACACTGTAAAGGCTGCTCAGTCCCTAAAAAGGGGATTATAAAACTTCTGCCATCTGGAACAGGGCAATATTAGAGAAGCTTGCTGTCTATCTGGAGTCCCAGAAGAGTGGGGGAGGGAAGAAGGAATTGAGAGAAGAATGAAGGAAATTTAAAACCTAGCCTACTCAAAAGGAGCTGTGACATCCAAACATACTGGCTACTTGTAGGAATCCCAAACCGAAGGCACTAACTGGTAGAGCTCAAAGAAAACACCTGAGACCCTTAGCCACCCTGGGAGACCCTTAGCCACCAGGGACCCTTAGCCACCCTGTAGAGAGCCTTCTACAATTCAGGGCTCACGTGACTCTTCCAGGGGTGGGGAGACCCACTGGCGTTGAGATAATAATCAATAGAAAAAAACCACCATGAAATTTAGCAGGCAGAGACTGCAAGAGCAGGAGTACCTGAAACAGAGATTACAAAAATTGACAAGGATAAAATCAGTACTTTTTAAAATTTTTATTTACTGATTTGAAAGAGAAGGAGGGGGAGAGAAAGAATGAGAGAGAAACATCCATTTGTTGTTCCACTTATTCATGCATTAATTGGTTGATTTCCTATATGTGTCCTGACCAAACATTAAACCCTCAACCTTGGTGTATCAGGACACCGCTCTAATCAACTGAACTACCTGAGCAGGGCAAAATTGGTGTATTTTAAATGACCAGGAAAAAAAAAAAGGAGTCATAATAAAATATGATGACACCATGAAAAACAGGTGGTTTTGGCAAAAAAAAAAAAAAAGCAAATGGAAAGTACATTCATGAAAACTAAATACTAAACAGACAGATCAAAAAGAAAATGAAACCTGACTGCAATTACTGAACCATAAGAGAGATCCAAAATACCCATAATGCAACCCAGAGTTACAAAGAGGTTACAGATATATGAAGGACAGACTTCCGGCCAAGATGGAGGCATACGTAGATACACTGTGCCTCCTCGCACAACAAATTTAAAAACAAAAGACAATCAAAACTGATAGAAAATCAAACTGTATGGAAGTCCGACAACCAAGGAGCTAAAGAAGAAACATTCATCCAGACCAGTAGGAGGGACAGAGGCAGGCAGCCAGGCAGAGAGGACTCGCGGCAAGGCAGCAGCTGAAGGACTGGGCAGTCCCATGTTTGTGTGCAGATAAACCAGGAGGAACAACTGGGGAGCGAGACAGACCATGCAACCCAGGGTTCCAGCATGAGGAAACAAAGCCCCAAAACCTCTGACTGAAAAAACCATTGAGGGTTGAGGCGGCAGGAGAAACTCCCAGCCTCACAGGAGAGTTCATTGGAGAGACCGGCAGGGTTCCAGAACATAAACAAACCCACCCACCTGGGAATCAGCACCAAAAGGGCCCAATTTGCTTGTGGGTAGCAGCAGGAGTGACTGAAAGCTGGCAGAGAGCTGAGCAAGCAGCACTGTTCCCTCTTGGACCCCTCCCCCACATACAGCCACAACACAGCCAGGTGGATTGTCCTGCCCTGGTAAATACCTAAGGCCCCTCACTACATAACAGGCACACCAAGGCCAAAAAAATGGCCCAAATGAAAGAACAGATCAAAGTTCCAGAAAAAATACAACTAAACAAAGAAGAGATAGCCAACCTATCAGATGCACAGTTCAAAACACTGGTAATCAGGATGCTCACAGAATTGGTTGAGTATGGTCGCAAAATAGAGAAATAAATGAAGGCTATGAAAAGTGAAATAAAGGAAAATATATAGGGGATCAAGGGTGACAAGAAGGAAACCAGGACTACAATCAATGATTTAGACCAGAAGGAAGAAATAAACATTCAGCCAGAATGAAGAAACAAGAATTCAAAAATATAACAGGCTTAGGTACCTCTGTGACAACTTTAAACGTTCCAACATCTGAATCGTATGGGTGCCAGGAGGAGAAGAGGAAGAGCACATCATAATTACATTACCCAAGATTAAAGATGAGAGAATCTTAAAAGCAGCAAGAGGAAAGGAGACAGTTACCTACAAAGGAGTTTCCAGAAGACTATCAGCTGATTTCTCAAAAGAAACCCTGCAGGAAAGAAGTAGCTGGAAAGGAGTATTCCAAGTCATGAAAAGCAAGGACCTACATCCCAGATTACTCTATCCAGCAAAGCTATCATTTAGAAAGGAAGGGCAGATAAAGTACTTCCCAGATAAGGTCAAGTAAAGGAGTTCATCATCACCAAATCCTCATTATATGAAATGCCAAAGGGACTTATCTGAGAAAAAGAAGATAAAAAATATGAACAGTAAAATGACAACAAACTCACAACTATTAACAACCAAACCTAAAAAAATACAAAAACAAAAACAAACTAAGCAACCAACTAGAACAGGAACAGAATCACAGAAACGGAGATCACATGAAGGGTTATCAGTGGAGGAATGCGAGTGGGAGAGAGGAGGAAAAGGTACAGTGAATAAGTAGCATAGAAGGTTGGTAGAAAATAGACAGGGGGAGGTTAAGAATAATATAGGAAATGGAGAAGCCAAAAGAACCTTATATGTACAACCCACAGAGATGTACTAAAGGGGGGAGTGCAGGTAGGAGGTGGTATGCAGGGCAGAAGGGAAAAAAGGGGGGAAATCGGACAACTGTAATAGCATAATCAATAAAACATATTTAAAAAAAAGATATATAAAGGTCAGAATTAGAAGTCCCAGCAATAGAACTTACAAAAGGAAAGGGTCAAAAGAATGAAAGAAGCAATATTAGAAGGATATTAGCAAATAAGTTTTCAGAACTAAAGATATGAGCCCTCACATTAAGTAAGTACACACAAGTCCCAAACATGCAAAATACAAATCTACATTTAGACACATCTCAATGAACCCGCATAAGACAAAAATGAATAGTCTTAAGAGCAACCATACATCAAAAATTAACTGCCTATAAATCAACCAAGACCAAATGTCTCAGAAACAATAGAAGGCAGAAAGCAATGAGATCATAGCATCAAAGTCCTAAGGAAAAATAATTGTCTACCTAAAATCCTATATTCATTCCAACTCTCATTCAGGAATAAGTGAAAATAAAAGACATCTTCCCAGAAAGACTAAGAGGTTTTCATTTTAGGCCCTGGCCAGGTAGCTCAGTTGGTTAGAGTGTCATCCCAATATGCCAAGGTTGAGTTCAATCTCTGGTCAAGGTACATATAAGAATCAACCCATGAACATATAAATAAGTGGAACAGCAAAACAATGTTTCTCTCCCTCTCTCCAAAATCAATAAATAAAAAATATTTTTTAAAAAGATAAACTAAGAGATTTTACTATTTAGGGTCCAACACTAAAAGTAAAAGATATGCTTCTAGATAAACTTCTCAAGAAAAAAGTAGAGCAAAAGAATACGGATCAAAGAAAAACTTAGAAAAGTGTTGGTAAATATAAACACATAATGATTGTTAAAAACAATGATTGTTAAAAATTTCTACCAGTGTCTTTAAAAACAAAAAAAAAGAGTGGGGGCATTATTCTAGATTAAAGTTAGGTAGACAAAAACACCCAAATGGAATGAGTGACCCCTCCCTGGATCCTGATTAAAAAATAAACATTTACAAAGGACATTTCTGGGGATAAGAAAAATCTTATTTATCAACTTTAGAATGGCAAAACAATACCATGTATTGTCAAATCCCTACATAAAGTAAAATTATTTTGACAAACATACATCGGAATAGACTAAGATTCAGGATAGTGGTTACCTCTGCAAATTCAAGAACGGGGTCCAGGAAAGGCAGATAGATACCCAAGGGTTAACTACATTTGTATGTTTTTTTAAAAATCTACAGCAAATATTGGACTGGCCAAACAGTCCATATGTTTTATTCCATAAAATAAAAGACACATTTTTCATTTTCACCAATAACTTTATCGATTTAGGTATTTTGAGTATGTTGGCTATGACTCATGTGGTAGAACATTGATTGTTCTCCATTAATGTTTCAATTTGATCTCTATCAACTTCAACTGGCCTACCCAACCACGGAGCATTGTCCAGCGAGAAATCTCCAGCACCACACTTCACAAACCACTTCTGACATGTCCAGTCAGTCACAGTACCTTCTCCATACACTACACAAACCTTTTTTGCATTTCAGTTGCCTTTTTACATTTCTTCAAAAAATAAGCATAATATGTCAAAAACATTGCATATTTTCTTCCATCTTCAATATTAAAATAGCTACACAAAAGTTCACCAATTTTGATAAGTTTTTTTTTTATTTTTAAATACATCTACAGTGTTAAAGTCTGAGTTCAAGTGACTTAGATGGGTCTTCTTTTTTTTTAAAGATTTTATTTATTTATTTTTAGAGAGAGAGAAGGAGGGAAACAACAGTGTGTCGTTGCCTCTCACATGGCCCCCACTGGGAACCTGGTCCACAACCCTGGCATGTGCCCTAACTGGGAATCGAACTGGCGACCCTTTGGTTCACAGCCAGGGCTCAATCCACTGAGCTACACCAGCCAGGGTGGCAAGTTTTTTTTTTTTAAATACACACTGATATGACACTGTCATGATACAATCTAACAAAATTGTTTTGAATTAAGTTAAAGACAACTAAGCACTACTAGAGCTATCCTATGGAAAAATAGCAAAATTTTTGGCCAACCCAGTATCACAAAGATTTGTCAAAAAAGTATTCAGTAAGCAGGTATTTATATTATTCCCTGTACTTCTAAAAATATGCTGAAATGTATCTTTAAAAAACAATTTAAGAGAAAATTACTTCAAGTAAGAGGTAACATATAAAGTATAAGAGGGAGAAAAAAGGTGTTTCTCTACAAAAAGTATAAAATAATGTTGAGGTCCCCCAGCTTAGGGAAATAAAAGGAACCCCAAGAGTCAAATTGTGCAATGTTGGAGGAGAGGGTTATTGCCAAAGAACTTATCTGAACACCTCTAAGAAGTCCAACTGATTTCTTAAGCAGACACAAATATGCCTTCTGAATGGACAAGAGGACAATTTCATGGTTCACAGGGCCTAAATTAAGTCGGACAAGAGTACAAAAGGCCCTTACCAAGCTAAAGTGAGAACACAGTGCCAACCAAATATGCCAAGAACTTTCAAAGTAAATCTATCATCAAAAGCAATCTTCTAACTAAGGTCTTTTTCCTTCATCAAACCATACAGTCAAAATGTTCTACTTCTCTGCTAGCATCTATTCTTAGCCTTGCTCTGTGGTCTATGATCTTTCCCCACCAGAGTCCTCCCCACATATACCTGACTCCCAATCCAATCACCTATTTCAGTTGTGTTCACCCTTTTCTTCGTAAGTCCTGCCATGACTTCTGGCCTGCCTGAATTCAACTATGACCTACACTTATGATCTGTCCCATCTTGGCTGTATTATTCCTACATTTTTTATTCACTTATTCCTACACCTATCCATATTACATTTACTAAACCTAATAATTTCTTTTACACATTACTGGGCAACTGGGGAAACTGAATATAAAGTGGATATTACAGAGAAAGTAATTTTTAAGTGTGATAATGGTTTGATAGTTGAAGAAACTTAAAGATATAGAATTACTGTTAATATTTTAGGTGTGATATTAGTATAGCAGTCACATAGAGAAATGTCATTTTTATGGGAAAACATGCTGAAAAACTTAGAGTGAGGCATTTCAATGTCTAGAATATAGTTGATTTAGCAAAAATACAACTATATACCTTTAAAGCAAATAGGACAAACATTAAATGTTGAAACAGGTCATAAGTATTCAGGTAATTACTGTACCATTCTTTCACATTAAAAATTTCTGGGCCTCTACAAAAAAAATTTGTAAAGGAATGTTTAAATATATTATTTATTTATTTTTAGAGAGAGGGGAAGGGAAGGAGAGAAGGAAAGAAATACCGATGTGTAGTTGCCTCCTGCGCACCCCCTACTGGGGACCTGGCCTGCAACCCAGACATGTGCCCTGACTAGGTATCAACCAGCGACCCTTTGGTTCACAGCCCATGCTCAATCCACTGAGCTACACCAGCTAGGGCTAAATGAATATTTACAGCAGTATTATTCATAATAGTCAAATGGTGAAACAACCCAAATTTCCATCAAAGAAAAAAACTGATAAAGAAAATATGGTTTGATCATTACTTTTTATGAATAGAGTGTATTCATAAAAAGTAATGAAGTACTGATACATGCTACAAGCTGGATGAACCTTGAAAACATTGCGCATGCCTGACCAGGTGGCTCAGATGGTTAGAGCATCATCCCATGCACCAAAAGGTTATAGGTTCGATCCCCAGTCAGGACACATACCTAGGTTGTGGGTTCAATCCTAGGTCCAGATGCATGCAGGAGCCAACTGATGGATATTTCTCTCTCACATCAATGTCTGTGTGTGTCTCTCTTTCCCTTCCTCTCTCCCTAAAATCAATAAAACACATCCTCAGGTGAGGATTAAAAAACAACACCACCACTGTGCAAAATGGAAAACTATACTAGTGAAAGAAGGCAAACACAAAAAGCCTCACACTATATGACTCCATTTATACAACATATACAGAATACACAAATACAGAAACATGAAGTACATTAGTGGTCGTCAGGACTGGAAGAGGTGGAAATGGGAAGTGACTTTTAATGGATACAGGGTTTCTTTTAAGGTAACGAAAATACTCTGGAACTGGACAGTGGTGATGATTGCACAACTTTGTGAATTTAAATTATGCCACTGAAATGTACACTTTATAATAGTGAAAGGATGTGCATTTCACCACAATAAAAAATAACTGGGGAAAAAAGAATGTAAAGGAACAGTTACCATAGCGAGAAATATTGATGACAGGGAGTTTAAAAGAGAAAAAAATAACTAACCTGGAAGTGAAGCAGGGTACTGCAAAAGAATACTTCCTGCATATACTTCTTCTGAGGCAGGATCAAATGAAAGAGGAGACATAGGTGGTAAAAGATCCACAGCCTTAAAACAAAGAATGCAAAATTTTGAAATATACATATTTTACTCACTACCACATAACAATACTAAGTTAATCTATGAATGGATGATTCCAACCAGGGCAGAATTATGGTGCATATAAATTACCCTATAATTATTTTTGAAATAAGGAGTACAGTATCAGGAACAAGAGAACTACTTTGTCCTTCAGCTATATCTCAAACGTAATAGTACCTAACATAAAGAGGAGTATCTCATTTTTTACATGTATTTAGAAGAATTACAGAAACTAAACATTTGAACTTTAGGCTCAAATGCAAAGATGACAAACACATAGCATTTCTATGTCATTAATAACATGATAAATCAACAGACTGCCTTATATTAAACTAACATCCAAAAAGCAAGTCAATCCCAGACAAGAAAAGGTTAAAGGAGCTCATCACCCCCAACCAAACAGTATTACAAGAAATGTTAAAGGGACTTCTTTAACAAGAAGAAAAAGAAGAAAAATTTTAAAATGTGAGTAATAAAATGGCAATAACTACATACCCATCAATAATTACTTTAGATGTAAATGGATTAGATGCTCCAATCAAAAGACACAGGGTAGTTAAATGGGTAAGGGAAAAAAAGACCCTTACATATGCTGCCTACAAGAGACTCACTTCAGATTGAAAGACACCCACAGACTAAAAGTAAAGGGATAAAAATAAAGGGAAGTATTTTCATACTTCATGAAAATAGAAACAAAAAAATGCTGGGGTAGCAATACTTATATCAGACAAAACAGACTTTAAAACAAAGGCTATAACTAAAGAAAAGAAGGACCCAACAATTCCACTTTCTTTGTCCAAAGAAACCCAAAACTCTAATTCAAAAAAGCATATGCACCCATATATTCATTGCAGCATTATTTACAATAGCTAAGATATGGAAGCAACCTAAATGTCCATCAAAAGATGAATAGTTAAAGAAATAGCACATATATACAATGGAATATAACTCAACTTAAAAAGGAATGAAATCTTGCCATCTGCAACAACATGGATAGACCTAGAGGGTATTGTTCCAAGTGAAAGAGATCATACAGAGAAAGACAAATGCCACTGATTTCACTTATATGTGGAATATGAAAAACAAAATAAACAAAACAAAAACAGAGAACATTTTGATAATTACCAGATGGGAAGGGATCGGAGAATGGGTAAACAAGAGAAAGGAATTAAGTACAAATAGGTAGTTACAAATTTTGATTCATTCACACCAGATGGCTATTGTTGTGTTGGCTGTTGTCATTTTTTAAAAATGACAGTCTAAGGAAAAAGAGATCAGTGCCCCTGAGTAAATAGTCAGGTATTTGCAGGTTTTAAAAATTCTTATGGCACACCAGTTGAAAATCACTGGCATAGAAATATAGTCGATAACATCATAATAACTATGTACAGTGTCAGATGGGTACAAGATTTATCGGGTAATCACCTCATAACTTATATAAATGTCTAAACACTATGTTGTACACCTGACACTAATGTAATGTTATATATCAACTGTAACTGAAAACTAAAAATATTTTTTTAAAAAGGCAAAAGGCAAGCCAATATTACTTACTGGAGTCCAACCTTTAATTAGACTGAAAGGAGACAGACCAAGAAATTCTTTCCACTTTATATGCCATTCTCCTTGTTTTTCAACAATAGAATGTGTTATAGTTGTAAGATCTTCTTTCAATTTGTGCCTGTAAGAGCATTAAAATAACTTTATTCAAAACATGAGTACACAAAAGTATTGAGTAAAATTTAAGAAATTTATAAAAAAAGAAAACATAACTGAAAGTTCAACCAATGCAGCACATATAAATTGAATAAACTCTCACAATAAATACTGAGAACCTAAAATACTTTTTTCCTTTTAAGACCAGAGAGCAACCATATATCTATTGCTCCATTTATCTTTGAAACACAATTTCTTCCTGGTTCTGAACTCAAGTCGATATTCTATTCCCACTCCACATCCATTCCTAAAGGCAAGCCTGCCCTTCTCGGTCACTGCATAAATAAAAATACTTGTCTGAACCCTAGTTTTATTAGTAGGCCCCATAAAAGAAAAGGTATAGAAAAGTTGAAATTATTTCATAAAGAATTATCACTCAGGGCAAATAATATATTCCAGACAAAAGAAAACTATACTAATTTTCCTTTCTACTTCATGTCCATCACTGAGAGTTGATGACATAAGGTTTTTGAGCACTAGTAAAATTTTCACACTGATTTGTCAAAGAGTTGTTAACAAGTTGTACTAAGAAATTTTAAAGCCATCCTAACTCCTCACCCAATAAAATAACATAGAATCTTACTAGTACCTTATATGCTTCAGATCCAATAATCTTTGTCTCTGAAATTTGGTCTCTTTTTCAAGGAAGTGAAGGTCTATTGTCAGTCTTGCTTGGTCAGCCTGACAACATTCATATTTCATTACTTTCAAGACTTCGTTTAATAACTGAATAACTGTTAATAGGTTCAATTTCCCAGCCTCATAAACATTTCCTATGTGCAACTAAGGATTCAGAAGAAAAAAATAAAGTGGTGAACTATAAGTTCTTGAGATAGTAAACTGCTATATAAATAGATTTATATGTTTTACTATTATATAAAAAGGTTATCTTAAGGAAGAATGAAAAAGTTAGATTTCTACCCCCCAAATAACACTATGTAAATAATCTGGGTCTGAAGAAAACTGTTGTGGAAGAATTAACAGGCCATGCTTCATTTTTTGTTATGTAAAGTTGAAAACTAGTGCCCTCCTATGAACAAAGAGGACACCAGTTTGATTCCCAGTCAGGGCACATGCCTGGATTGCTAGCCAGGTCCCCAGTTGGGGGTGTGTGAGGCAACCAATCTATTTATCTCTTGCACATAGATGTTTCTTTCCCTCTCTTTCTCCCTTCCTTCCATCTCTCTAAAGTAAAAAAATAAAATCTTAAAAAAAAAAGAATTTACAAAAAAAAGCTGAAAACTAGAATAAAAGAAATGCAAATATATGGAAGCAAAATAAAGACTGAGGAGAAAGAGCAGATTTGGAAAAAAGATTATGAATTCATGTTCTAACAAAAGGTAAAAACTGATGGCTCCTACAGGTTGAATCTAAACTTGGACATGTTTTTTAGCCTGCAACTTCTGTAGCCTGAAGTTGTTTTTAGCCAGTGTTTTAAAATCATTTGTATTAGTTGCCAATATTTTTAATCATTGATTTTACATAAAAATTACTATTTCTCCAAAAACTTTATCACTTCCTACTTTTTCCCAATCATCACCAACAATTAGAAAACTTCACTTATACACATTACCTGCCTAGTCCCTCTAGGATTCTTTCTTTTTTTAATTTTATTTATTTTTGAGACAGAGGAAAGGAGAGAGAAGCGTTGGTTTGTTGTTCCACTTATTTATACATTCATTGGTTGCTTCCTGTATGTACCCTGACTTGGGATCAAACCAGCAACCTTGGCATATTGGGACATTGCTCTAACCTACTAAGCTACCTGGCCAAAGCCCAGACTCTTGAATTGACAGATCTTAATTTTTATGTGATCTGAATTTGAAATACCTGTCATGTTACCTATGAAAGTCAAAGCTCCTCAGGGTCACAACAATATTTTATCTTTGTATGCCCTGTACTATAATCAATACCTGGCATATGGTATTGCTTAATAAATATGGAGATGCTTAATAAATATGTTACCAAAAAAAAGAAAAAAAAAACAGAACTGTAGGCTATCCACATGAAAATAATTTGATGTAGTTTGGGTTAAAGGGGAGACTGGAAATACCAGTTTGAGAATGTTAATGTATAGGAAGCTGATGAAGCCATGGAACTGGTTAAGAAAATATTATTATGTATTTGTAATGTGGGAAAGGGGGACATTAAAGGAACTGTGGGAACATTTTCATTTAAAAGTCAGGCAGAGAAAAAGAAATCAGTGGAAAAACTAAGAACAGCAATCTGAAAAACTACAGGAGAAGAGAGACATTGATGTCACAAAAGCTAAAGAAAGAAACGACTTCAAATAGTCATAGCATCAAGATAAAAGAGAAACCAGAAAGAATAGAGCCTTTTTAAGAAGACATTTATGGCCCTGGCCAGGTAGCTCAGTTGGTTAGAACGTCAACCCAATAACACCAAAGTTGCAGGTTCAATCCTCAGTCAGGACATATACAAGAATCAACCAATGAATACATAAAATAAGTAGAACAACAAATTGATATTTCTTTCGCTCTCCCCCCTTCCTCTCTCTCTAAAAATCAATTAAAATTAAAAAAAAAAAAGAGGTTTAGCAATCAGGAGACATTGTTGCTATACTTGGAAATTTATAAAGAACTAAGTACCATATCATCTTCCTAAGTAATTCCTACTCCCTACCCTATATATGATGTAACACCATTCAAGGTAGAGACAATTAATAAAAGTTGCTGGATATAAAGATGCACAGCTTTCTTTACCATACCCCTCTTTATGAAAATTTTACTACATATACTCAAAAATAAATTTTGAAAACAGTAGAAAAAACACTGTAAGGAAAACATGTAATACATAAAATAATTATATGAAGGGAGTTTTCTCAAAAGCTTCTTTAATATCAAATGCTTACCTGACACATTTGTTTCTCAATCTTGTCGAGTAAGAGCCTTGGAACATTAATAGTAACATTAGTTCCATCTAAAGTATATTGGTTAACAAGACTAAGGACTGAACTAACAATTTCTCTCTCTTTTTCCAAAAACAGAAGTGTTTCATTCACTGAGCCCCACAAAGACCGAACCTTTGAAAACAGAAACAAACAAAACATTAAAGTCTATACCCAATCTGTACATACATTAAAGAAATGTAAAACACAAATACATGCTCACTTCCAAGAACAAATGAAGTATGCCTGGAATGATTTCTGGTGAAAAGATTAACTAGCTGTATTCTAATACTCTAAAACAGGGTGTCAAATTCATTTTCACGGGGGGCCACATTGTTGGGAACCGCCCTGACTGGTATTAGAAGCTGAGACCCCCGCCTAGGCTAAAGCTAAGGGAACGCCCTTGGAACCGTGAGCCGGCAAGGAGAAAAAAGCTTATCTCCCTGGCAGTAATGCTGTTTCTGCTGCCGAACCCCAAAAAAGCTTGGTCGGTTAGCCAAAGACGGGTAAGATTCCCCACGGGGGGAACAACCCAAGCCAGGCACGATCACTTTGGGAGGCCCCCCAAAAGAAGGACTTGGGGGGCTGCAGCAAAAGGGGGTGATGGACCCTCACTCCTCGGCTTTGACAAAGTCTGAGTTCTCAGCGTCCGGAAGAAAATCTCCTTATCTCTCGGTGGCTTTAGTTCCCGCGCTCCACCTAAGCCTGAAACAATGACGGGGAAGTACAGCTCGGTACTGGGAAGTGCGGATTTCCCGGGGTGATCAGGCCTAAGAAAGAACATGTAAATTACTGTGAAACCTTCTTTGTCCAAGAATGCTCTTAGTTGAATGAGGAGGGTCTTAGGAGGAAGCTAGTTTGTTCCTCAGCCTTACAGCTCTTTGACCCCCCAACTCAATAGACCGGCAGAGTTCTTTGTTTTATATGTTCCTTACTTCCCCTAATGAGTATTGTACGTTACCTGAGTTATTATGTAGCATGAGCCTAATAAAAGCAGGTATGGACGGTGGATCAGCGCGCTCCCCACTAGGGGGGGTGGCCATTCTGTCCCTACTTCCCCACAGAAACTGGTTTGTCTCTGTGCATGTGTGTTTTTTCTCGCGTGTTTATCGTCGAGCCATCCACAGTGTGCCGTGGTCACTGCTAGCCGGTGACCCACGCGCAACACCACATCAGCTTCTGGTTGCCTTCAAAGGGCCAAATTTAATTTGAGGACTGTATAAATATAACTACTCCTTAACTGTTAAGGAGTTGAAATTACATTCAGCCCTTTGAAGGCAACCGGAGGCTGATTCAGCCCCCCGTGAAAATGAGTTTGACACCCCTGGTCTAGAGGTTTCATACGATGGCATTTCCTTGGTACACTTACTAAGATCCAGTCTAGAAATTTTATCTTGTCAATGGCTCAAAGTTGAAACTGAACAACATTAACTGAACTCAGAAGAGATTGCTATGAAAACTTCAATAGGTCTCATACCAACCTATTAAATTTATAATAAAAAATACTGCATTCAGTAATAACAATTTTTACATTCACTGAACTGGGAACTTCATGAAAAAAATGACTGCTGTTTTTTTTCATTGCTCTACTATCTAGAAGAATGCCTGAACACAGTAGATTATCAATAAACATTCACTGAGATGAACAAGCAATTACTTCCTGAGGACAGCACTCACCTTTCCTAGTGACAAAGTGCCTGAGAAGCCAAATTAATATCCAGAGCAGCATGGTAATCACAGGATCAGAACAAAGAGCTTGAGAGAGATATAATCTAAACCAGCAGGCCCCAACTGTTTTGGCACCAGGGACCAGAAGGGCCTAGGGGTTGGGGACCCCTGATCTAAACACAAAGGAGGCCTAAGAAAACACTTCTACCCACATCAAAGCCAGCCTCTGAAAGCCTTGGACCATTTATGCCTGCCAGATACTCTACTACCAAACCAGCCTCAATTAAACTTTTCATTTTTCTTCCATACTTACCATCTTCCTTCAGTTAATATATTTTATTTTGGTAAATTAATGCTACAATAAAAATGAACTTTTCTTGCTGGCATGAAAGGCTTTAAATTAAACATATTTAAAGCTGCTTTTGTATACAGTTAGTCTTATAAATTATATACTAATTTTTCCCATCATATTCAAACATTTGAGAGGCACCATTTTCACACATTTAAATATATTACACTTGGATAATGAGTAAAAAGAAAGTAAAAGTGTTAAAAAAAGAAATAACAAAGATAGTCCAATTAAGTAAGCAAGGATTTGCCTATCACAAAAGAAAAATTATCAAAAAAAGAAAAAATGATTACATTTCTCTTTTCAAAAGTTGTCTCACCTTTTGAATTTTCTCTTGTATATCATTTTGGTCATCATAAGGTTCCATTCTAATTAAAATTAAATAATATCATTAGTCATTTTAAAAACTATATAATTTACTATCCAAAGAGCTAATTAATCTGCAAACCCAGGCACTAACAACCATTCCAATTAAAACAAAAATAAAATTCTAGCTCAAGGCAGTAATTTATTAGAACTGGATTAGGAATCAGAACTATATTCTATACCTATCATCATCTAACTATTGATATATTACTTATGTTTCTGGGACTGGCAGTTTCCTAACCTGTAAAATGCAGGAGCTAAACATGTAAGGCAACTTTCAGCTCTAAAAGAAACTTACTTTTCTATTTGGTTTTGCTGTCCTATACATTCTGATCTCAGACTTCGTACTTCTTTAACTGATATTCTGAAAGAAAACATGCAAAATGACAACTTTACAGATGCTCCTCAACTTATGTGGGGTTATACATCCCAATAAACCCATCACAAGTTTAAAATATCATAAAAATTCATTTTTTAACTAGGGTGCCACAAGAATTTTTAAAACATGTAATACCTGACTACTTAGTCAGGCGGCACTGACTTCTCCCTTAGACTGTCAAATTAAAAAATGACAACAGCCAACACAACAATACCCATCTCGTGCGAATGAATTAAAATTATACCTATTTTTGTCAGGCAAAAAATTTATTTTTTGGTGAGCCACCAAATTTTAGTAATTAGTTTATGTGTGTGATAAGATGAAAATGGTTGAAAATCACTGATCTAACCTGCTGAACATCATAACTTAAGCTAGCCTACCTTAAATGTGCTCAGAACACTACATTAGCACTTGGGCAACTATCCTGAGTTTTATCTCAAAAGTAAACTGCCTTATCCTTCTCGTCAGATTCAAGAGATACAGATGGACATTTTGTAGACATGATAGGATGCTAAAACATAAAACACAATATCCAAAAAATGCTGGCAACACAGTCGACTACAGGGTCTCCGCTGTTTACCCTTACAATCATGTGCCTGGCTAGGAACTGCAGCTCACTGCCACTGCGCAACATCACGGGAGAGTACCCTACCAACATTTAACATACAGGCTGCTATTCAGGACTAAGGACTTCTTGGTTCATATACTCTCAGACTTCAAGTAAAAATGTTACAGGTCAGTAAGATACTCTGTTCTCTTATCCTTGTCTTACATACCTCGGGAATAAATGTCAATGTTACCTAAAACAGTCATGCAATGTCCCAGTTTTAAAGTAACATAAAAGAATTTTGTCTTTTATACTCTATAACACAGTATTTAAAAAGTTACCTTACTAGAGTTGTTAATAATTTTTAAAAATTAGCCCTGACTGGTGGATTGAGCACGGGCCTTCGAACCAAAGGGTCACCAGTTCAATTCCTAGTCAAGGCACATGCCTAGATTGCAGGCCAGGTCCCCAGTAGGGGGCATGTGAGAGGCAACCACACATGGATGGTTCTCTCCCTCTCTTTCTCCCTCCCTTTCCCTCTCTAAAAATAAATAAAATAAAATCTTTAAAAAAATTAGACACACACAACTTTTGAAATTAAGAACCTTGTCTATCTTGTTTAATACTGTAGGACTAGTGCCTAAACAGTACTGGCACACAGACGTAACTCAGCCCTGGCTGGTGTAGCTCAGTGGGTTGAGCTCAGGCCTGCAAACCAGAGTCTCCTGTTCAATTCCCAGTCAGCGCACATGCCTGGGTTGCAGCCCAGGTCCCCAGTAGGGGGCATGTGAGAGGCAACCGCACAAGGATGTTTCTCTCCCTCTCTTTCTCCCTCCCTTCCCCTCTCTAAAAATAAATAAATAAAACCCTTTTTTAAAAAGGCTACAAAACAAAAGGAATACTATACAGCCTGAAAAATACTTCCATGTTAAAAAAAAAAGAAGAAAAAACCTAAGAAATTAAAAATTTAAATTAAAGTGATCCTTTCCTTTCTTCTAAACTTTCATTGACAGTATAACTAAAGTTTAAAACATTTTATTCAGAAGTTATCTGGCTTTAAAATTGAAAGATACAAGCAAGGGAGTTTTGAGCTAAGCATGGTTTATTACCACTGAAAGTATATTGATGACATTTGTACAAAAAGAAAGGAATTTTCATTTTTCCAACTATCAAACTACTACTTACTGTGCATTTTCCTGATATTTTTGTAAAACAAAATCTTCTCTTTGTAAAATTTGTAAAAATCTGTTACGTGCTACATGAGACCTGGCAATGCACTTATGCAAATCTTGTGGCTTTACATTAAATGTCTCCGCAAAATGTTTGGATGAACCTACATGGAATACAAGATCATAGAAAACTTAGGCTTACAAACTAATAAACATTTAAAATGTTGGATTTTATTATTTATTACTAATTTTTAAAGAGATTAACAACTTCATTAACTAACAACTCCTTAAAAGCCGGCATGCCACATACACAAAAAGGTAAAACTAATTTCAACAAAAGCAAGGATGACCTATTTTTAAAGTAGGCAACTTGAAAAGGATATCTGAAGTTGAGTTGTTTTACATAATTAAAACCTTTTAGAGTACATCTGCCCAAAATAATTCTTCTTATCACAGCTTGCTATATCCATGAACACAGTGTCATACATGAGCAAATTTTTTCACATTTTTTATTGTTTTTCAAGTACAGTTGTCTCCATTTTTACATGAGCAAATTCTTAAGATCTTTTAATAACAAAGAAGAAAATATACTAAAAGAGATGGGGTGATATCACATCACCTCTATTGCTGCCATCAGCTTACTTTTCTTGCTGGTAAGAATAGGACAGGACAACCAAAAACCAGTCTCCATTTCTCAAGTAATTCTTGACTATGCAGAGCGGACCCTAAGAACAATCCACCCAAATATTTCAGAGTGTGGGTTTTTTACCTGTAATAAATGTGTAATAAATGCAATAAATCCTACTTTAAGATGGCTCAGTATGATAAAGATGAATATTCTGGATAACAAGGACTCCACCCTGCACTTAACATTACTAATCCAGGTCCTAGAATTAAGTCCAAAGAAATCACCACAATTTCTAAATATTGAGCATGGGATGAGTTCACTGAATGTGAAAATTATATACAGACTCAAAATGTTGACTGGAATTGTTTTAAATCAGAAATAGGACAAGCCCTGGCTGGTGTAGCTCAGTGGATTGAGCGCGGGCTGGGAACCAAAGTGTCCCAGGTTCGATTCCCAGCCAGGGTACATTCCTGGGTTGCAGGCCAGAACCCCCAGCAACCGCACATCGATGTCTCTCTCTCTCTCTCTCCCTCCCTCTCCCTCTCTCTCTCTCTCTCTCTCTCTCTCTCTCTCCCCTTCCCTCTCTAAAAATAAAATAAAATCTTAAAAAAAAGAAATAGGACAACACAGCCCGGGCTGGTGTGGCTCAATGGACTGAGCACCAGTCTGTAAACGGAAAGGTCGCTAATTAGATTTCCCATCAGGGCACATGTCTGGGTTGCAGACTGAGTCCCCAGCTGGGGGTATGTGAGAGTCAACCAATGGATGTTTCTCTCACTCTCTTTCTCCCTCCTTCTCCCTCTAAAAATAAATAAAATCTTAATAAAAAAGAAAAGAAAAGAAATAGGACAACCCATGCTTAAAAGTCTTATAGACAATAAACTTTTGCTAAATTCAAGCACACATATTTCATATAAAATAGTTTGGGTTACATGCAATTGGAGTAGATCACCTACTAATAAAAAACTAGTAAAATGCTTATGTTACATTAAACTTAAAAATATGTAAATACCTATAAAGAAAAGGTCTATGTTTTTTAAAAACCATGCATAAAAGATAAACAAGAAAAATGCTTACATGTCACATTACAGAGAAGGGATAACAAATAAAAGCTCCTACAAATGAAAAAGAAAATGGCTAAAGAGAAAAATGGAGAAAGCATATCAACATGGAGTATAAAAAAGAATATAAATTACTCTTAAATACTTCAACAGTTTTCAATCTAACTAAATACATAGTAAGAGAAATACAAATTAAAACTACCCTGACTCAGTGGATTGAGCACGGGCTGCGAACCAAAGCATCGCAGGTTCGATTCCCAGTCAGGGAACATGCCTGGGTTGCAGGTCACAGCCCCCAGCAAACGCACATTAACGTTTCTCTCTCTCTCTCTCTTTCTCCCTCCCTTCCCTCTCTAAAAATAAATAAATAAAATCTTAAAAAAAAAAAAAAAACACTACCACTTTAACTATCAGACTGGAAAGATAAAAATGTCTGATCACACACAATGTTGGTGAGACTTTGGGAAAATAGTCTCCATACCCTGGCAATATAAGTATAAACTGTTCAATCTCCGCAGAAAATAATTTGATAATAAGAGCAAATTACAAATTCACAATTTCTTTGACCAAGAAATCATCTTCCAGGAATTATACACACACACACATATTGTATATTTATGTATATACATATTGTATAAATACACACTATACACATAGTGTGTATTTATTTGAGCATACACAAAATGATATACAGGGTGGGGCAAAAGTAGGTTTGCAGTTGTATGTGAAACAGTTTATTCTTATATTATTATTTATTTTCCATATAATATTATTTTCCATACAGTATTATTTTCCGTATAAACAACTGTAAATCTACTTTTGCCCCACCCTGTATGTATAGTTTCTCACTGTAGATTGTTTTTATAGCAAAGCATCAGGGGAAAAAGCCAAAGATCTGTCAGCAGAAGACGGATTAAATATATTATGACACATCCATTCAAATATGCAGTTCTAAAGAGAAAGAAGGAGAATAAGGAAGCTCTACAAACTGATACAGGATGATCTCCAGTTACATAACGTTAAATGAAAAACACAAGATTCAAAACTAGATGTATGTTACCATTTAGGGTTTTTTAAAAAAAGAATATACAAAAAAAATAAAGAAAAAATACAATAAAGATTAAATCATAACATTGAAAAAAAAAGTCCTGGCTGGTGGGGCTCAGTGGATTGAGTGCCGCTCTGCAAACCAAAGGGTCACCAGTTCAATTCCCAGTCAGGGGATCAATTGTGCCTTGATTGTGGGCCAGGTCCCCAGTAGGGGGCACATGAGAGGCAACCACACATTGGTGTTTCCTTCTCTTTTTCCCTCCCTTCTCCTCTCTCTAAAAGTAAATAAATAAAATCTTTTAAAAAATAAAATTAAAAATTTTTAAAAATTTTTTACATTAAAAAGAAAAATGATATACATATATGCTTGTATTACTGATTACATTGGTTGCTTTAAAGAAGAGAAACTAAGTAAAGAATAGAGATGGAAGAGAGACTTTTAACCTTTTGATTTTTGAATCATGAAAAATATTATCCTTTCAAAATTATTAAAACATATAAATATATATGTACACCAAAAAAAAAAAGAAAACCTGAGAAAATAAGCCAAAATGTCAGTAATAGTTGTCTCGAGAAATTGGAAGATGGGTGTGGTTTTATTGCATCAACTTTTCTGTATTTTCTTGTCCATATTTTTGAGCATAAATCAAACGGAATAGCATATTTAATAAGTTACCAATAGCACTCTTTTAATTCTTAGCTTAAATATTCAACATGTATTTTGTTTCTATAAATTAATAGATCAAATCCCTTTAAAACAGCAATTTGTAACGAAAACTTCCCACATTACCAGTAGCCAAAATAAATCTCAAATAAATTCAATACAATATTGCATATAATATATTAGAGGCAAACTATAATCAGGAAGTCTAATCTGGCCCATTGGCCAATTTTCTGAGGTCAGCAAGCTAGAAATACTGTCCATATTTTTAAAGAGTTATATTTAAACACACATTCACACACAGAGGTATATGTGACAGAAACCCTGTATGGTATACAGAGCCTAAAATATTTACCTTACACAGAAAATGTTTAGAACATAATAAAATAATTTGACTTGTTATTTATGATCATTAATGACAGGGTTTCAAACTATAGTTCTAGTAGAACATAATATTAATTATTTGCCTTTTGAGGTTACTTAATAATTTCATCTTCTTGCTTTATTAAAATCTGATGACTTACAGACTGTAAAGTATAATAAATATTTAAGAAACAAAACCAAAAAAGACTCCTACTATAAGCTTAACTTACCTTTAGAATGGGTTTTTATATATTTTATTGCAACGAATCTTGCAAAATGATACATCAAATGAATAAATTTAGGACCACCAGGAGAAAGAAATAGTGAACCAACAACTTGAGGAAAGCTACTTCCACATTCAGTCTACAGAAAAAGAAATAAACAATTTTGAAAGATCTTATCAACAATAAACTTTATATTTACATCACACTGTTTCTGAATTCTTGGTGAACTTGGTCACAAAAAAGTAATTACAATACAAACCCACAATTATTGACACTATTTGGGGACATAAACTAAAATAATCTATAGTCAAAAAAGTTTTCTTTAAATAAATATTGTGATAAAAACCCCAAGGGACTCAAAAACCTATTCTCAGTGCACCTAGCCAGCACAGCTGGTATCCTAGAAATATACAGAATACCATTCTAAAAACATAAAAAGTATTATTCCTTCCTTATACTGTTAGCATAAAAGCATTAAAAATATTTCACCTTTAAAAAATTAATATATAATTATACCTAAAAAAGCTAGAAGAACAATTAATGTAATTTTTAATCTCCTCAAGTTTTCCTTTTCCAGAAAGAGAATACTTACAGAAATTTTTTTTAACCATTCAAAGCAATGTTTCCGGAATTCAGTATCACTTTTTTGGTCAAATGGAGGCCAACAAAGTCTTAAAAACAAAAATAAAAACATTAAAATTATGAACAAAAAAAAAACAAACTCAGCAGAAATTGAAAAACATCAAATTTATCTCCTATACTATATACATTAATGCTTTAATAAATGAAGGCTGACATTCATAGATTTCAACTAAGATACGATACCAACCTGTGAGAATTGGGTCTTTTTCTTTATAAATATCTAGAGGATTAAGTTCAGTTTTGTGTAAATAACCACTGCATATGTACATTAAATGCAGGAGTTAATCATTATTAAAATTACTGCCCTGGTTGGTGTGCCTCAGTGGACTGAGTGACAGCCTACAACACAAAGGGTCACCGGCTGGATTCCCAGCCAGGGCACAGTCCTGGGTTGCAGGCCGGGTCCTGGTTGGAGGTGTGCGAGAGGCAGCCAACTGATTTATCTGTCACACATTGATGTATCTCTCCCTCTCTTTCTCCCTCCCTTCCCATCTCTCTAAAAACAAATAAATAAAATCTTTATTAAAAAATTAAAAATAAATAAAATTACTAAAAATCAGGAAAAGTTGAGAATACTCTCAATGGATTCACTGGACTAACACACAAAGACAGTATAAGTAAATTAGTATGTTAAGCCTGGGGGAAAAAAGAGAGAAACACAAATGGTTACATATGAAGAGCCCAAGAGAAGAAATGGCACGAGAGCTTTTGACTCCTAAAGATAACCTATATCGTAGCCAGTGGGTTCTACTGTTATATAGATAAAGAAGATACAAAATTTTAAAAAAGAAGATCTTTGCCTCAACTTAAGTTTACAATAAGACTTTAAAATTTACCTATTGCTTTCCTCTAATAATCAGTTTTATCGAAATTTCTTTTTTATCCTGAAGAATCTGTTTAGGGCCCCATGTTTTTTAAATTTCTAAAGCATATCATACATTCTATATTAATAGAAAAAATTAATTATGCATAGAAAAAAAGACTGAAAGCCTAGAATATCAACAGCAATATTCTCTGGCTGATGGCTTTAGGAATGATTTCTACATCCTTCTTTACATTTTTCTATATTTTCTAAATTTTTTAAAAAGAGCTGTATTTTGTTTATAATTGGGGTGGGGAGAGCAGAAAATCTACTTTTATTTGAGCAAAGGAAGCCCTATACCATAATGATAGGAATTTCCAAAAAATGTTTCAAATACACCTATTCTCCCAATTATTCATAACTTGAACCGAAAGCAAAATATAATATTAAGAAAAAATTATCAAAAGTATAATGCCCTAAACAATGTACTTATTTGTTGCTTTTATATATTAAGAGGATGATGGCCCCATATAAATATTAGAACAAATCTGAATATTCGACAGAAGAAACCCAAATCACATGCTAAATAACTTGGAACCAAGGCTAGTGGGTATTCACATTATCTCCTTTAACTATTTAAGAATCAACAGTACATAATAGTAGGTTAAACTTAATAGAAATGATTTTTGCCTACAGCACTTGCCACTTTAATATACATATCATTAACAAAAAATAAGGATTTGCAGAGACCTATAAAGTAAAAATAGAAAAAACAAATATAATAGTACCTACAAGAAAAGGAGTAAGTAAAGCAAAGTTGTGTGTTGAGATAAATTGGTACCAGTTAATTGTTTTGCCTATTAATTAAGACTATGAAAATGTTATGAACGAATATTATAAAACAAAATCTAACTTACCTAAGGAGTATACAATGATACACTAATGCAACACTCAAGCCTGATGTTTGTGACACCCACTCTTTGTTCTTTCTTTGTGAAAAAACGAAGTTGAAATTCTAGCTTATATCTAAGCATAGTCCCTTTTCAAATCTGAGAGTGACTAGTTAAAAATAAATAATTTTTACTCACTTGAAAACTTCTTTGGTGAGAGACTGGTCCAACGTTTCAAACAAGAAGTAAGAAACTATCTGAAAGGCATCACGATTCAGCTTGTCGAACATGTTTCTAATGGTTTAAAAAGAAACAGAAGCAGGAAACAACAAAAAAATATAATAAAACTAAATATCATCAAAAGCTGTATACGAGTTTGACACAGATTAATATTTTTCATTCTCTTCAAGAGGTCAAGTCAAATCAATTCTTCTCATTCATGTACATTTCTACAACCAAGAAAAACAAGTTTTATTTCTGATTCTGAAAATACAGATCAAATAGAAGAAAACTGGTAGAACTTGTTTTATTATAGTGAGAACATTCGACAACAACAAAAAAAAAGGTTTAATTAGGTGAGAGAATACCATGCATGCCCAATGATATGAAGATTATGATACCCACCAACATTTCTATTAGTGAAAATACCTAATATTTATTGAGCTTATTACTTCCAAGTATTAATTTAAGCCTTATAATAGGAATACATGACATGAAATACATGACAAGTAGATGAGGCAGTAACTCATCTAATTGTTACGATGATCATATGAGGTTAAGTGCTATGCTAGCTGCTTTAACATGGATTATTTTACTTAATCCTAATGACAGTAGAATGTGGTTTGATTATCCTCATTGTTCAGATGAAGGAGTTTAAACTTTAGAGAGATTCGATAATTTGCCCAAAATTACATAACCAGGAATAGAAAAGCAGTGATTTAAAATACATCATCTGACCCAAGTCTAGGGTCTTTACTATTACATTTGATTCCTAGAACCATCCTTATAGTAAGTTTTTATTGTCTGATTCCCCTAACTAATCAAGACAAAATCTAAAAGAAAAAAGAAAAGTAAAAAAAAAATCCTAAACCTTTTAAGAAATATCACACAGCTATAAAAAGGCAGCCTCTAGGCCAGGGTCCTCAGCCACTGCTCTGTGCTCCATGTTCCCTCCTCACAACCTTACCAGGACCCCAGGGATGTGAAGGTATCTAGTACAAAATGGGAAAATGGGGACTTCAGGCTTTGGGGACTGCCAGAGCTAGGAAAAAGAGGGGTTTATTTTTTTATTTATTGATTTGAGAGAGAGGGAGGGAAGGGAAGGGGGGAGGGAGAGGGAGAGAAAGACATTGATTTGTTGTTTCACTTATTGACATATTCATTGGTTGATTCCTGTATGTGCCCTGACCAAAGAAGGATTGAACCCACAACTTTGGTGTATCTGGGACAATGCTCCAACTATCTAACCTATCCAGCCAGGTCTGAACTTTACCTAGGTTAGCAACCTACTGACAGGGATAATCCACCTCAGACACTACACTCTGCTGCATGGATTTGCCTTGGCAATTCCCAAGGCAAAATAAATCAAACTGGGTGTGGAGGTATAGCCACCATTTCTCAAGGCCCTGGCAGTGAAGGCCCTGCAGGTAGTATGAAAAATGAACAAAAGCAATTTAACAACTCTGGATAAGCAAGAAAGGGATAAAAACAGAACATATATCCCAATAGAAGTTAATGTTTACACTCAAGAAGGAAGAGAACCTATGGAAGCTATCAGATAAAAAAATTATGAGTGCTCCCCCATTATTCTAGTTTAAAAAGGTCATTTGCAAAAAAAAAAAGTAATCTGCATGGGTACAATTGGAACATCAAAAGAAGTTAAAAGCAACACAACTAAGTAACTATAAAGGAAAGGTCGCAGAAGAAACTGAAGACATAATAAAGAAGAAAACAAAAACTCATTAGAACATAAAATATACCTACGAGAATTCTCTCTATGCACTATTATAAAATAGTTTTAACATTTATAAAAGAGATCTAAGATATTCTCATGTTTCATACATTTTCAACAATAATCTGAAGCAATATTTCACTTGGGTAATTTCTTGTCTCCAGACTCTAAAAAGAAACTACCTTAGGAGTTAGGCAATTAAAAACTGGGGTGTGCATCACTGGAATACATGACAAGTAGATGTGAGTATTCCTTCTATGAACACATAAAGCTACTATCTTGAGATTTTAAAAAATAGAATTAACACTAACGTTCCCATGCTGTAACTCTGTACAGTGACAGATGGTTACTAGACTTACTGTGTTAATCAATTTGTGAGGTATGTAAATGATGAATCACTAGGTTGTACACCTAAAATTCATTTAATGCTATATGTCAACTATAATTATAAATAAATTTTTAAATGTACCAAAAAAGTTTTTAAAAAAGTTTCTATGCTTATCCATGTCAAAAAAAATCTTTGTCTTTAGAATATTTCTGTTCCTCAACAAACACAAATCTTACTTCCTTATCATCTTACAAACTTGTTATTTTTTCACACAGTATACTGTTTCTTCTCTTTAACACCTATTTCAATTTTAAATAAGATATCTGTTGAAGATAGCTATTCATCTACTAGACTAAAACTTTGTAAGGTAAAAGTCTGTGTCTGTTCTGTTCATTACTGTATTCCCAGGTCAAATACAGTATTCAAATAATATTTGTTGAATAAATGAATGAATCACCTTTTCTTCCCATTCCTACTGCCACCTTAGTTTAGGCTCACCTAACTCTAATGCCCTGAGTCCCCCTCTAATTCATTCTCTGTAATGTAACCAGAATAGTTTTTCAAAATGCAAATCTTTAGGACAAATATGTAAGAATAAAATTGCTGGATCATATGGTAAGCATATGTTTAAAAGAAAAGTGGTTACACAACTACATGCTCATAAAAGCTCACAAAACTGAACACCAGAAAGAATGAATTTTACTATATGTGAATATAAATGAATAAAAAAATAAAAATATTTTTCAAAATAAATTTGATACCACATTCATGCTTAAAGCATCTCAAAGGTGACATCTGTTTCCAAACAATCTGCTGAAATTAAAGACTTAGAGGATGGGAAAAAAATCAACGACAGTGTTGGAAAAAGAAAAAAAACTGCCATCACTGGACCAGAACTTGACAGATGTTACTAATTTTTCAAAGACAAAAAGCAGACTACAATTGAACAAACCAGAGCAGAGAAAACTACGATTGCTAGAACACCAGAGAGAAGGACACAGTGGCCATTTTCAGCAGAGGCCAGGAGGTTTAAGCTGCTTTGACAGTACAAAGAAAACAAGATTGCTGGGGGGCATCCAATCATGTGAGGTAAGTGGAGTACTTATTAATACATAATCATAACCTGATAAATGCTATCCACTATTGTCAATTTTTATCACAGACTCCTAGACAAAGCATTCTACATGTAAATAATAGTGACTTCTAAACATAGTTACCAAGCAAAACTTAATTACATCTCTAAACCTTGACAGTTGACAGTTATAATACATCTGAAAAACGTCAAGAAGTGGGGGGTGTAGAGAAGTGTAAGTGAGCTTAAGTGTAATTTCTTATAAATAATAGCTACCTTCCTAGTAAAATTACTTGGCGGGGAATGAAGAGACATTTTTGAGATTGATATACCAAGAAATAGAGGTCTAAACACATACTAAAACACGGCCACTGGAACTGAAATAACGTAATTAAGTCAAGAAGATTTGAGAACAGGAGGTAGACAATGTACCCCAAATTTCTCTTGACCTACAGTGGGAGGAAATTAAGATATGTCTAAAGTTAGTAAGTTAAAGCACAGAAATATAAACAAAATATTTAGATTTATAATCATAACCATAACATTAGTAGCAAAGTAGGGAAGGGGCTTTTATTTTTCATCTGAGTAACCTCCTTAATACCCTTTTTGCTAAGTGTGGAACGCTTCAGTTTGCTAATTCAAAAAGTTAAAATTATAAATTAAAGAGCAACCAGCTTGAAAAGATCCCTTGAGCGTAAAGGCGTGTGAATATACTGATTGTTCTCACTTCCCTCCAGTACCTAATTCATTTTCACAGACCACTCAGTTTTACTAACAAAGCAGTACTAAGCTGCCCACCCCCCCGCCCACCCAATTTAGCCCCAAATGCAGACTCTACCTCGGTGCACGGTGCCGTATTTATAGTCTCTGCTACCAGCCTGGCAGCCAGTGGGAAGAAAGGCTTTACAGCCAGTGCCTCGATTCCTAAACCTTCGAGATCCGCGAAAGGGCGGGTTATCCCATCAAGTCCACTCAGACAACCCCGCCCCGCAATTCCCGGCCTCCTTACACTCCAAGGTGGGTGTGTGACAAGATCTTTCCGCAGGCGGTGGTGGCTGGGCCTGGTTCGAAGCCGAGGGTCTGCAGATACATCCAAAGATGCTCCTTCTCGAAAGCGGTGACCCAGGACAAGCTCATCTCTGCAGTTCTGCAGTGTCCCTGCACAGGAAGAAAGCAAAGGCCCAAACGACCGCGAGGGCCCTCAGGCTCCTTCCCTACAGGCAGCCTGAGGTCGCAGTCGCAGCAGCACCCGCATTGTCACTGCCTGCACCTCTCTAGCCCGGAGCCATTTCGCATCGAAAGGCCGTAAAGTCTCAGGGAAATAGAGCTTCTAACGGTAGTGCGGCACAGCTGCCTAAGCCACGACAAACCGAGACTCCCGCGCTTTCAGCAGAGCGCTTTGTGCGCGCCGCCTGACTTCCGGGGAAGGAGGGAATTGCCCGGAGGACTCTAACTCCCGCCATGCAACGCGCTCTTTCCCCTTCCCTTCCCGTCGTGCCCAGCCGGAAAACTACAAAATCCTCAGCGCCCATCTATCCCGGGAACTTTGTTGCGCTTGCGGTATCAAGCGGTTTCTCGTTTTGCGCTTTTAGATCTGAAGGCTGTGAGGTTTCTTTAGTTCTTATAGACCGATTACGTCAGATAAAAGCTGTAGATGGGGGACTGTGGCTCTGTGTAGTAGAAAAAGCGCTGGGTTCCATCCAGAGCCCTGCCCATTAGTTGTGTGACCCTGAACAAGTCACCTAACCTCTTGGACTCAGGTCTATTGTTAGTGTCATGTGTATCAAATGCTGAATATTTCTTTCACTTTCTTGCTCTAAGAAATCTGGCTGTCCCCTACGCATACAGTTACCCCTGTAGCCCTCTCAGTTAAAGACTTTTCTCTCCCACACCCCCTATACAACAGGGCTTGAAAATGAGGTGGGTGTCTTATTTCTTATCGCTACCTCTGGCACTTAATTGCCTCAGTAAAACTGTAACCGGAAAAGAAACCGGCGTTCGGGCTGCCTATCACTACCAAATCCAATAAGCAATGACAGTGACTGAATCTTTTATATGCGCTTTATTCAGATGGTGGGCGATCTGAGAAGATGGCAGGTTCATACCCTAACAAACCATCTTGTTTCTTTCCTGGCCAGATCTTTTATAAGTGGGGTGGGGGAGGACAAACGGGTTGGTGAAAGCCTTGAAATTCAACAGTTGTCTCCAGGGGGGAGGGGTAGTTGCCTGGTACGGATGTCTCCAGGTGGTAATCTCTAGCCAGCACCCCAGAAGGTCAGCCTCTTTTTCTCAGGCGCCAGATGGGCCTTATCTGTAGTTTTTGAAACAAAAAGCTTAACATACACATTACTTACTAGATTTATGGCTATTTACCTTAAGCTAAAATTTTCCAAATCTTAAGCCCCCTATCAAAACGACTAGCTCCTTTGAAGTTTAAGCTATCATCTACCACAGTTCTTGTGGAAAGCACATGTATGATCTCCAGGTTGCTGGGCTTCATTCTGAGAAGATTTAGCTCTTATTTCGTCCCTCCTACATTACCCCGCGATAATTCTTGGTAAACACAATATCCATGTAGGTCCTCTGACTGGCAGAGCTCAGTTGGTTGAGAGTCATCATGCAAATGAAAATGTCTCTGGTTCCATACCGGTCTGGGCAGGTAGGTGCCTGGGTTGCCTGCCCTCCAGGTCTTCAGTTGAGGTGCGTGCGGGAGGCAACCCATCGATATTTCTCTCGCTCGCTTTCTTTCTCCCTTCCCCTCTCTCTAAAAATAAATTAATTAAATATTTTTTTTTAAATATCCATGTAGGTAACCTTTCCAATATCTTGGCCTCTTAGTTTCTTGACCTTCTCAGCTCCCTGGCCCCTTTCTCTCTTTATTAAATTTATCTCAGAGAACCCTAATTCTTATTAAAGCCGGTTCTCAGCCTATTCTACACCTGCAGCTCAGTAGCTAAACACAATTATGATGCCTGGTGTTACTCAAAATTCATGACAACTCAAGTGGGCTCTTAGGCCCTCTCCACCTGACTAGTATTTTCCCCAAACCTTCTCTCCATAAGAGTATGCATATCTTCTTCCCTCCCCTAAACTTCCAATACCTACTTTTCCCTCCTCACTCTCAAAAATGTCCTTTGTTCTTAATTAATAGATGTTTCAGGAAAATAACTTCTATCAACAGTTTTACCAGTCTACCTAAAATCTTTTTCCATTATAGTGTTCGTTCTCTCGTTAATCTGGGTGAATAAAGGCATGCTGACATAAGATCAGTCCTTTCACTTATTTGATAGATAATATGCCTTTTCTCTTACTCAAGGAGTTTGCTCCAGCATTGGTCCTCTTCTCTGTCCTGCATCAATTCTTCTCATCAGTATACAAACATGCTATAATATCATCCATCATACAAAAAAGTTATCTATACCCATCTCAAGGCTAATGGTAATGTGCCAAGGTCACTTGTATCAATTAACATTCTTTGGAGGCAAACAGCAAAACTGACTTTGATGGAGCTTTATTAGGTGGATATTGAGTAGCATAAAGAATGGAAAGACCAAAGAATGTTCTCAGGGAATGGCAGGCCCATGTGCCACTCCACTCAAGATTCATATACCAGATAGTCCAGTTTGCTCCTTTTAAATAGATTAATATATCACTACAGGTGAATGTTCTTGTAATTAACACACAGGACAAAAAAAAATTGTGGATGAAAAGGGGGCTCTATAATAAATCTAACCAAAAGTACCCTCATGAGGTTATTTGATCATAAATTCCTAACTGGGCCCATCATGGTGGGTAGTCACACCTCACACTGGCCTATAACTTCCCTAGTAAAAGATTGTCTCTACCTTAAGCAGACCCTGTCCATTGTCTTTGTGCATCTAGGTTAACACACCTTTGAAATGCCACTTTTGCAGACCCATCATAAATTTTAACTGCCCTCAAGACAGCACATAATCTTGTTAACTATCCCATGATCCAATCATAGAAATTTTCCTGTCTTGCTTTCTCCCACCTTCATGTAATGCTCCTTATGTTCCAGATGTATAAAAGAAATGGCAAAACTGTCATTCTTCTGAGCTTTTGATATCTTGCTTTCTGGCAATGTCATCAATTTGTTTCAAATAAACTTTTAAAAATTCTCTCCAAAATTAGACGTTTCTTATGTTGACAAAATTAAACCCCAGCCACTTTCCCTTTGCCAAAAAGTAACCACTATTGTCAGTTTTACAATAATCACAACTTTGTTTTCCTGTAGTTTTACCATCCAAGTATGCTTCCCTACACACTATAATTTAGTTTTTCTCTTTTTATATTCATCTTGGCTTTTTTTGTCTTTCCCAGGATTTTTTTTTAAATAATACAACAATATACAGGATTTCTTCCATCCCTCCTCCTTTTTTTTCTTAAAATTTATCTGTTGAACACCTGGGGCTATTTTACCAGAATAATTTCCCATAGCCTATGTTTTACTGTTAGCATCCTCACAGTAAAGTTCAATGTTTTCCACTCTCTGTGTCCTCCAAATTTTTCAAATTGGCACCTCCATCTAGAAGATTGATCTGACTCAGGCATGAGAAGGTGATGGTACAATTCCCACCAAAATATCAATGACATTTTCTAAAGAAATAGAACAAAAACCAATCAGATTTGTGTGAAACCACAAAAGACCCTGAACAGCCAAAGCAATCCTGAGAAAAAAGAATGAAGCTGGAGGTATCACACTCCCTGATTTCACGTTATACTACAAAGTGATGATAATCAAAACAACATGGTATTGGCAGAAAAACAGACACACGGTCCAATGGAACAGAATCGAGAGCCCAGAAATAAGTCCACATGTATATGGGCAAAAAGTTTTTAACAAAGGAGCCAAAAACATACATTGTAGAAAACAAAGCCTCTTCAATAAACAGTGCTGGAAAAATTGGAAAGTCACATGTAAAATAATGAAACTAGACTACAGTCTGGCCCTATATACAAAAATTAACTCAAAGTGAATCAAAGACCTAAATATAAGATCTGAAACAGTAAATTACATAGAAGAAGGCATAAGTACTAAGCTTAAGGACCTTGGTCTCAGAGAAGATTTTATGAATTTGACTCCAAAGGCAAAAGAAGTAAAGGCAAAAATAAATGTATGGGACTATATCAAACTAAAAAGTTTCTGTGCAGCAAATGAAACAACCAAGAAAATAAAAAGGCAACCAACAAAATGGGAGAAAATATTTGCAAACAACACCTCCAACAAAGAGTTAATGTCCAAAATATATGAAGAACTCAGGCAACTAAACACCAAACAAATAAATAATCCTATTTAAAAATTGGTCAGGGGACCTAAACAGATATGTCACTTAAGAAGACATACAAATGGCCAACAGATATATGAAAAGATATGCTCAACTTCACTAGCTATTAGGAAAATGCAATTCAAAACTACAATGAGACACCACCTAAAATCATTAGAATAGCTACTATCAACAAGACAAATAATAGCGAGTGTTGGAGAGGTTGTGGAGAAAAAGGAACCCTCATTCACTGTTCATGGGAATGTAAACTGGTACAGCCACTATGGAAAACAGTATGGAGGTTTTTCAAAAAATTGGGAATAGAGTTACCATATGACCCAGCAACCCCTGTTCGGGGTATAAACTGAAAATTTGAAAACATTTATTCACAAAGACATGCACCCCTATGTTCAGTATTCACAATGGTCAAAACATGGAAGTAACTGAATCATTCTTTGACAGATAATTGGATAAAGAAGATGTGGTACAAATATACAATGGAATACCACTCAGCCATAAGAAAAAATGAAATATTGCCATTTGCAACAACATGGATGGACCTTGAGAATATCATGCTAAGCAAAATAAGTCAGTCAGAAAAAGTTCACTCATATTATTCACTCATATGTGAAATATAAATGTGAAAGTAACAAATGAACAAACAAGAAAAAGAAACAAAAAATCATAGACAACAGTATGGTGATTACCAGAGGCAAGGAAGGTGAGGGGGTAGTAGAGAGTAAAGAGAGTGTCAAATATGTGGCGATAGAAGATCTGACGTTGGGTGGTAGGTACACATTGCAATATACAGGTCACATATCATAGAATTATACACTTGAAACCTACATAAATCTTATTAACCAATGTAATCCTAATAAATCTATTTAAATTTTTTTTAAAAGGCTAGATGATGGTTGGTGTATGCTCTTCTTCAGGCAGAACATAATATCTCTGTTGATGCCACTGACAGACATTAATGCTAAATACCTAGATCCATTAATTCACTGGGAATTGCAAAATGCTGAAATTCTAGTTTGTCCTTTGTTGCAGACTGCATGCTTGTGCCCACTCCCCAAATTTGTGCTAAACCCTACTCCTCAATGTGATGGTATTAAAAGGTGGGGTCTGTGGGAAATAATCAGGAT